CATAGCACCTACTTCTACTATGCTGTCACACGTAAACATACGTCACAAACGTTACCGTAACATTCTTGCACCAGTTCTACACCACTTCCACAGCGCAAGAGGTCTACGAGGCGCCTGGGTCCCGAGGAATCGTACAAATAATGTGACCGGCCTCGAAGGCAAGTAGAAGCCCCGCGGCACAGGAAATTTGGAAAGTGCTAGTCTCCTTTGGGGCTGTCTGCCCTAAACACATATCGAGCGGGAGGGCGGGGAGCCGTGACGAAGGGCCAACAAATTATCCTGGCGAAGGACCGATCCATATGCAGATGTCGGAACCGCCATTGTGAATATCTTCTTCGGTGAAGCTCCCTATGGGGCCACGAAGCGCTGCACTGGGTGGGGGGGAACACATGCGGGCGGTAGCACTGGGGCCATAGGTGCAGCTCCCTATGGGGCCACGAAGCGCTGTACTGGGTGGGGGGCGCATGCAGGCGGTAGCACAGGAGCCTTCGGTGGAGCTCCCTATGGGGCCACGAAGCGCAATACTGGGTGGGGGGACGCATGCAGGCGGTAGCACTGGGGCCGTCGGTGGAGCTCCCTACGGGCCACGAAACGCTGTACTGGGTAGAAGGGACGCATGCGGGCGGTAGTACTGGGGCCTTCGGTGGAGCTACCTATGGGGCCACGAAGCGCTGTACTGGGTGGGGTGGACGCATGCGGGCGGCAGCACTGGGGCCTTCGGTGGAGCTCCTTATGGGGCTACGAAACGTGTGAGGAGTGTGCCAAAATGAATGGGGGGACGCATGCAGGCAATGGCGTTGGGACCTTCGGTGGAGCTCCCTGTGGGGCTACGGAACGTTGGGTGGGGGGGGCGCATGCGGGCGGTAGCGCTGGGGCCGCCGGTAGAGCTCCTTATGGGGCCACGAAGCGCCGTACTGGGTGGGGGGGGACGCATGCGGGCAGTAGCACTGGGGCTTTCGGTGGAGCACGCATGCGGGCGGTCGCACAGGAGCCTTCGGTGGAGCTCCCTATGGGGCCACGAAACGCCGTACTGGGTGGGGGGAACGCATGCGGGCGGTAGCACTGGGGCCGTCGGTGGAGCTACCTATGGGGCCACGAAGCGTGTGAGGGGTGTGCCGAAATGGGAGTGGGGGACGCATGCGGGCGGTGGCACTGGGGCCTTCGGTGGAGCTCCCTATGGGGCCACGAAACAAGTGAGGGGTGTGCCGAAATCGTTGTGGGGGACGCATGCGGGCGGTGGGAGCTGGGGCCTTCGGTGAGCTTCCTATGGGGCCACGAAACGTGTGAAAAGTGTGTCCAAATTGGGTGTGGGGGACGCATGCGGGCGGTCCCACTGGGGGCTTCGGTGGAGCTCCCTATTGGGCCACGAAGCGATGTACTGGGTGGGTGAAAAAACAAATTGTGTGTGCGTGTGTGGGACGCATGCAGGCGGTCCCACTGGGGGCTTCGGTGGAGCTCCATATGGGACCACGAAACGCTGTGCTTGGTGAGTGAAAATGCCAAATTGATGTGTGGGACGTACGCGGGCGGTCCCATTGGAGGTTTCGGTGGAGCTCCCTATGGAGCCACGAAGCGCTGTACTGGGTGGGCGAACATGCCTCATTGGGTGTTTCGGGACGCATGCGGACGGTGGCACTGAGGCCTTCGGTGGAGCTCCCTAAGGGGCCACGAAGCGCTATACTGGGTGGGTGAAAATGCCAGCCATATGTGATCTACAGTTGGCCCACGCTTCACTATCACGTTACTCACTGCCAGTTTGCATGCGAGCCACTCCTGGTAAGTCATTCGACTCGCGTGCAGAGCAATCGAAGTACGACCGAATTCACCATCAACGGCCTTTCGGGACACGGTGGGACACCATCAACGCATCCCCGGGGTACACTGTTGGAACAACGCCAACAAACCATCTGGACTCCAGGACACCCAACGGGCTACCGTAAGAACACCGAACACCATCGACAAAAACAACGGGGCGCCAGGACAACCAGACACCGCGCACGAGCGCCCACCGATTCCGCACGCAGGACCCTGAATGCAGTCTCCACCACGCCCCCTTCACGCGCGCAACTTTGCCCGCACGACGCCTTACGTGCACGGCTGGCAGGCTGGGAGGGGCCTCGGAAAGGCGACATCCTCCGATGTTCCCGTCTCGAACTCGCGCCTGTGAGCAAAGCTCCACGCCACGCAAACGGCAAGCCGCCGGATCCCATCAGGCTTGGGCAACTCGGATAACTAGGCCAGGCCCCATCACAACAGCGCTGGCAACAACAACACGAAACAGAGCACGTGCACATCGATCGCAAATGCAGATCAACACGAATCAGGCCCTTGACGTGCGAAAGACTACGCTATGTCGGGCGAACAGCAGAAGCATCATTCCGAGGCATCACCGCCTAGGAAAGACGAATCACGGGGCAAGCCCCCGAACCTCATGGCGAGTAGGAGGAAGGTCGAAGGAACGTTCAAGGCGGGAATGTTCCCAGATCGCGTGCACCCCCGCCTGAAAGCTTGTGCGACAGCGTACCCGCGCTGGGGTCCCAGATGAGGATGTAGTTGTCGAACCCTCCGCCCCCAGACCCGTCTGTGAGCACTCCTCCCCATGCACCCTGATTCTCGATCATCCTGTTACTCCTCCTCCTCCTCCGGCCCCTCATCCTGCTCCCGCTGCCATCACATGCTCAAAAACAGCACCCCCTCCTCGACTCCGCCGACAGGGGTCGCACACGCCGCAGCAGCACGCACCACCAGAGCGGCCTCGCCCCGATCGCACCTCCCCGTGCAGGCGGGCTCGCGCACTGCTCACTGGCTCCCGAGCACCTCTCTCCCGTAGCAGAGCGATGGGGGCCGAACGGACTTGCAGCGGAGGAGGCACAAGAACCCCCCCCACAGGAAACCCAACCCTGAGACCCCAGGGCGCCCATGGATTCTTGGTGTGGGAGCGTCACGCTCTCCATCACGAAACCATGCAAGCCCAAGAAACCCAGGGCAGCCTGGAGGCAAGCAGGGTGTTTCTTGGCATGGGCCCCCACTGTACACTGTCCCTGGGTGCGTGGCTGCAACGGAGCTCCACAACCCCAACTCCGCGACCCACCCCGCGACCCACCCGCGACCCTCCGCGCGACTCGCCCGGCGACTCGGCCAGGACCCTTCCGCAATCCACCCAAATCGTAAAAACAAACTCGGAGGACACCCCGTCACCTCGCTGTTATCCAAAGCCGCGGGGGCTATGGTACTTCTACATGTGCTGCGACCTTGCGCGTGTCTGCTTCCCAAATACATGCCAAACGAGTGGAGGTCGTCCCTCCCCGTCCGCTGCTCAGCAGCATCTGGCTCTCTGGGCAGTAAACCAAGCAGGTCAGCCCCTTCGAGTGGCCCGCCAGGATGTGCGTACGCCTGTGCTGCACCTCGGAAGCACCCCACCACCGACACCCCGGATGCAGGCTGACGCACCCCACTCCTGAGTTCAATCCTGATCCAGCGCATCTCCCCCTCCCTTCCTCCTTCCCCTTTTACCTCCACCTCCTCCTCCTCCTCCTCCTCCTCCTCGTTGTCCTCCTCCTCGTCGTCGTCGTCGTCCTCCTCCTCCTCCTCCTCCTCCTCCTCCTCCTCCTCCTCCTCCTCCCCCTCCCTCTCTCCCGGCCCTTCTCTTTCCACATCCTCGGCCCTCCTCCTTTTGGATCACGCCGTCGCACGGCTTCGCCCGCTCGCCCCTCGGGCGCAACGTCAGGGCCCAGCGGAGCCCCTCTTGCGCGGGCTGGCGCGGCCCTCGCGGCCGCTGCCGCGCGCGCGCCGTGGTCGAGGGCACGGCGCGCCTCGGAGGACCACCCCTCGCTCGAGCGGCGGCGGCTGCGGCGGCGGCGGCCGCGGCCATACCGATCTAAAGGGTGGCTGGCGCGGTGGCCGGGGGCGTGAGGAATGACGCGCCCGCCAGCGGCCAACGCCGCGACCTCGGCGAAGGTCGCGAGCAGGCGAAGACGACGCCAGCGCCTCACTGAGGCGCTGGCGAACGGCGAGAGGTGCGGCGGGTGGAGCGGGTGGCGCGGGCGCGGGCCCCGCGCTGGCCGCAGGAGCCGCCTGGACGGAAGCGACGGTGCGGAGCTGCAGGGCAACGCCGTGCGGGAGGACAGCTGGGCGGACAAGCCTGGCCGCGCCGTCGCGGCTGCTGCCGCGGTTGCCCCCTCAATGGTGCCGACCGAACGTGGCGGGCGTGGGCGTGCTGGCCCCGCACGTGTCGAAGGAGGGGTTCGCGGCCTGCCCCGCTGGGGTCGGGGCGCCACCCAACGTTGGGTCGGGCCTGTCCCCCCTACAGGCGGATGCTGGACGAAACAACAGTCAAACAATACAAACATATTCAAACATTGTCAAAACAAATCGTCTCCAGATTTTTCAACTATGTTTGAATATTCCTCTTGTAGAAAGGAAAATACATAATAAAACCCAGCGCCGACCCCCCCCGCCTTCGTCTTGGCAGCGAACACGCGCGCGTGTGTGTGTGATCGTAAATGAGTGAGTAATTGCGTGACTGATTGAGTGAATGGGTGAATGAGTGAATGAGTGAATGTGTGTATGTTTGTGCGTGCTTGCGTGCGTGCGTGCGTGCGTTCGTGCATGCGTGTGTGCGTGTGTGCGTGTGTGCGTGTGTGCGTGTGTGTGTGTGTGCGCGTGTGTGTGTGTGTGTGTGCGTGTGGGTTACGTATGCAATTCGGCGCCACTGGTGATCCTCATCGTCGTGTTGCCGTGCAGCTCGCAAGCAAACGCCAATTGCCACATGGGTCGTTAAGTACTTCTCTTGTGTGGGCCTCTTGAAAGATCCGCTCGGTTGAGAGTCCAACACCTGATCGTCCAGGACTCCTCCAAGGAGGTTGTCGTCCTGCCGCTCGAGTAGCATGCGGGCCATGCCGACGAGGACAAGGAACTGCTGGCGTGCGTCCTCGCGATCACGGAACACCCTCGGGCGAAATCGTCCAGGAGCAAGGGAGGGTGGCACAGGCCTCCCGTCCCCACTCTTTGGTCGCGGCCTTACGCCCTTCTCGGAGCTCCTCGGCAAGCTCTTCCTTCTCGCGTTCTGATCGTGCCAAGTCCCGCCTGGCGGTTCCTGCTCCTGCGTGGGGTCCTGCGTCCTTCTACCCTCCTATCCCCCAGCATCCCTCCCGCATCTTTTTCCCCTATCCAGTCCCTTGCTTTGGTTCGCACGGCCCAGCAGCATCGCCCCCGCCCCACCCCTCCTCCTCCCATTCTCATCTCCCCTCCCCCTGCTTTCGCAGGCCTAGAGATTGACACCAACACCAATTTCGGCGGTTTCCCTCTACCGAGGAAAGAAGACCCCGATCTCGGCGATGGTGGTAATATTCTGGCTTCCAAGGTGGCCGAACTATTACCACCAACACCGAAAATCTAGGATCACATTCCCCCTGTGGAGGCAACCCCCTGTCTTGGTGTTGGTGCCAATTTCCAGGCCTCCGATGCTTTGCTCCCTCCTGCAAGGTGCGGGCTGGTCTGTCCACGGGCGCCTGGCGCCCGACGGCACTTCGAGAACTCCTCGTACTCCACGGCGACTCGGCCACAGAGCACCGCGACGCCCAGCCGCCAGCCGCCCCTGGCGGCGCGCCTAGCGCGCCAGCTCCCCCGCCAGTGCTGCGGCCGCCGCCTGGGTGGCGTCGCGCCCCAGGGCGAAGCGGAGCAGCCGAGCGCTGGCGCGGTGAAGCGCCAATGCGAGAACGGCGCCCATGCACCGTACCATGCCTGGACTCCGTTCAGGCCCCGCTCCACCGCGGTACGGTGCACAGTTTGTTCGGCTCTGGGGGCCAGAAAACTATGCACTGTACCATTCCTGGGTCGAGGATCGACGACGCCTCGAGAGGCGCCAGCGCCGCACGGTGCATACATGCCGTCCGCGGAGCCAAGGTCAGCTCCGCCCCCCAATCGCCGCGCCAGCGCGCTGGCGACCGCCTCCGCTGCGGGGCCCTCGCCAGAGCCAAGGCCCTGCGGAGGTGCCGGGCGGCTGCCTGGCCGTGGCGCCCCCCTGCCTCCAGCGCCAGGGCGCGCGGCTCGCCAGGTGGCGGAGCCGCTTGTCGGCTTCGGCGTCGGCCTTGGCGGCGGCGTCAGCTGCCGCCGCTGGGGCGCGCGCGGTTCCGGGGACGCTGCGCTGGACTGTGACGTCCGTGCGCAGCCTGGGGCCAATGCCATCGCTGCGCCCCCAGGTCCAGGGGGAATCGGGGATCTTCTGGCCCGGGTCAATCCAGACCCGGGTCAGCAGGAAACCAAAAACTGTGCAATGCAGGACAAAAAACTGCAGCGCAGCTCTCCGGGTCAGCCAATATGCGCGGCCGCCTCGCGGCCACGAGCGGCTCGCTAACCCGGGTCAGCCTGAGGGGGTCTTCGCAGCATCCTGCAGGATCTGGTGCCCTGGCTGACCCCCGTTTGCATTGACCCCCGACTCAAGGCTCCCGAGGGAATCTCTTCCCGCTCCGCCCGGGGCGCGCCCCGCAGGCGGCGCAGGGGCCAGGCGGGGGCGCGTCGGCCGTGCCGCGGGCCGCGCGTGCTGGAGCGGAGCAACGCCCGCGCCACCTCTCCCAAGTGGGAACGCAGACCTACTGGGCCGTGCGGCACGCGTCCTCTGCATTTCTGCTCGGCGCCCTGCTGCGTACATAGGCGCGGCGCGCCGTGCAGCAGAGCGCCCGCCCGCAAAGCTTCCCCGCCCTCGGGCCCGTCTCGCAGCGGTTGCTGCAGCAGCCCCCAGCCGGCGCCGCGTCCTGGCCCAGGAGCGCCCGCACGGTGGAGCAGTAGTCGGCGTCCTCCAAGTTTTGGCACGGCCCTCCGTTGGCCAGATGCCAGCCAACCGCGCGGGGCCCACCGGAGGAGCGCAGGAATCCTCGTTCCTCAGCTCCGAGAGCGGTGTGCGCCTGCTTTTTCTGTGCCAAATCTTTGCGCGAGCGCCCGTCAGCGGTTCTGCCGAGGTTCCTGCGCCAGCAGTGCCGAGGCTGCAGCAGCCGGCGTCTCTACTCTTCGTCGGGGCGCAGCTCCGCCGGCGCCGTCCGGCACGCAGGCGCGGCAGCCCAGGTCGGCCAGCCCCGCCAAGCCCGTTCGCGCTTGGGCCTCGGCAAGGCTCTCCCCCCAGGAAGCCGCTCAAGCGGCCAGAGCCCGCGCCGCCTGCCTCTGGAGGCCCCAGCCGCCAAGCCAGCCGCAGCGGCAAACAGCACTCCTCCCCCCTTTGTGTTGCCTGGGCGTCGCCCACTGCGTCGCTGAAGGATGAGAAACAATTGCTCGCAGCTCACGGCCCCCAACATAAAGGAAGACTCGGCCGACGCGTCTCTCGTCATCCTTGACAACGAACCTAGTGCTTCTGGGGTGCTCCAGCCCAGCACTGTACGCAGAGAGGCGCCCCCGCGCGTCGAGTTTGTCTAATGCGGCAATTTCCTCTGCGCGCAGTGGTGCACAATTGGTTAACACCCATTCCCCGCACTGGCTGGGTCGGTGGTTCAGGTGTGCAGGCAGCTCGAGTTTTGTCAACCAAACTGTATGGCACGCGTGGCACTTGTCATCGCAACGAGCGTGCAGACGTATGAGACTTCTTGCACCGTGCTTGGCACGCGTATGCATCAATCAAGCCTGTCGGGTCCCGAATGCTTTGTCACTGCAGCGCGAACGCAGAGTGAGGTAACCGGCGGCTGTGCGAATTGGCTGACTGTCGCAGACAAAGTCCGTGGAATCCAGCAGCGTCGCGGCTTGGAGCCTGTTTTTGATTACTCGCGATGACGGGCGTGATCGGGGGAGGGGGCCCCCCCGATCACGTCACGGCGGGGGGGCGCCGGAAATCTCAGGAAAACCTTGAAGGATCGGTGGGAAATCCTTGCAAGTGGGGGGGCACGCAGGAGCGTGACGTGATCCCGGGCGGGGGGGGAGGAGTGACACGCTGGATGGTGACAGTTGGCGCCGTAAGGTATGGAGGTCTGGGTTGTGAAGGTACGTTGGCACCCTTCCCTGCGGCCGTCTTCGCTGGCAGAGGGGCAGTAGGGAGGACTAGGGGAACAAAAAGCGGCATAAACATAAAACTCAGAGGTCCGCGCGGATTTCTCGGATCGGCGCTGGATCCCCCTCCCTGGCGCGCGGAACGCGCCAGGGGGCGGCGCCGGAGGCGCCGCCCGGGGCCACAGCGCCGATCCGAGAAATCCGCGCGGACCTCCGAGTTTTTATGCTTATGTAACTTTTTGTTCCCCTGAAGGCTGATCACGGCGGCTGTCGCCCAGACCTCTGAAAGGCAGGCTCTTGCCTTCACCAGCTCAAGCATCTCGCGGCTGCCGCGAGGCGGCTGCCTCGCGTGCTTGCGCAGAAGCGGCTGCCATGCCTCGGGGCACGCACTGGAAGGAGGCAGCCCCTCCCTGATACAGTCAAACCTCTTGCCCTCCTCCTCCTCCTCCTCCTCCTCCTCTCCTCCTCCTCGTCCTTCTCCTCCTCCTCCTCCTCCCCCTCTTCCCCTCCTCCCCCTCCTCCTCCTCCTCCTCCTGCTCCTCCTCCTGTTCCTCCTCTTCCTCCTCCTCCTCCTCTTCCTCCTCCTCCTGCTCCTCCTCCTCCTCCTGACTCCTCCTCCTCCTCCTCCTCCTCCTCCTCCTCCTCCTCCTCCTCCTCCTCCTCCCTGCTCTCACCCTCCTCCTCTTCCCTCTTCACCCCCTCCCTCGAGCACCCGACCGACAAGGCCGGGGTCCTCCCGAGCGCCCCGCGAGGTCAAACAGCTGGATGGTGGTATCCAGCGAGGCCGTCGCCAGCGTCTTGAGCTGGTGAAGCCACACCATCGCCTCACGCCGAGACCCGAGGGCGGCTCCGCAACGGCCTCCTCCTTCACCCCATCGCCTCTTCTGAAGAAGAGCAGAACATCTGCATGGGCACAAACGTTCGGAGCTCCACGCGGACCTGCATCTATGGTTATGCTATCTTTCTGTTTCGATGCACCCGTCTACGAGACCGATGTTGCATCACAGCAGCAATTCGGCCTCTGACTTTCGTCCTGGGCTCGGTTTAGTGAAGTGATGAATTTCGGGGTCCTTACGTGGGAAAAAACATCACTTCACTAATCTGGGGCCCCTGGGGCCTCAGTGGGCCCTGGGGCCCCAAATTAGTGACGTGATGGTTTTCGGGCTTCGGACCGTCGCCTCTTCCAAAGCGTGATGCAAGGGGACAGGGGCACGGCCGGCAGTGCCGATGTCTGCAAGCGGCTCTCTCCAGGCGCCATGCCGAGGCTCCTGCCCGCGTGCGGGCGACACCGGCCGAACACCGAGGCGAGCAAGTCGCGTACGATCCTTTCAAATGCTGCGCTTGGCGGCGCGCAAAAGGGGGTAGGGGGAGGGGGGAAGGCTTCTTAGAAGCACCCTGCTTCTTAGAAGGCCTGGGCCTTACGTCTATAGAGAAGGCCCGCGCCTTCTAAGAAGCAGGGGTGCTTCTAAAAAGCCTTCCTCCCTCCCCCTACCCCCCTCTGCGCGCTGCCGATGCGCCCCGCTGTCCACCCTGCTCCTCCCCGGACTCGAGGGGCCTGGACAGTGTCCTTGTGGCAATCCGTATCCTTGAAGCCCGTGTCTGGCCTGCGTGCGAGTACCAGACTGAGAAAGAACAGATGGACGAGCAAGGGTGAAGCATGAATGGTCAACGCCGCGCTGACTTAAATGCCATGACCGCCCCTATTGCATGCCGTGTTCCCTTTAATCCAATGCCCGCCAAGCGCGCACAATACTTCGCTACCGAGTCAACTTGACGGCAGCTTTAACCAGACTGGACGAACATCATAATAAACAACATGGCGAAGCAACATAGTTACGCTCCAGAGGTGGGAACGAGCGACGAATCAAATGCGAAGCGGACGAGCACACGCCTGCGTGGAGGCGGGTGGGTACAATCGGAATCAACAAATAAGAACTACTTCATCAATCGCTTCGCTCACTCCGCCGGTCCATCCTGTAGAAGGTGTTAATGGCGGAGGAGGAGGAGGAGGAGGAGGAGGAGGAGGAGGAGGAGGAGGAGAAGGGTCGTGGACACGAGGGCTTGCTGGAAGGCCTGTTGTGGTCTCTCTTGGGAGGCCTCTGGGGGGCCTCGTGGCGACGCTCTGGGGCCACTTCGGGGGCCTCTCGGGGTATCCTGGGGGCCTCTGGGGGGGACTTTTGGGGGCTTGCTGGCGGTCTCGTGGGCTATCTACAGGAGAAACGGCTCCCATTGGCAGTTCGCATCCCCCTCTGAGAGCCCCTGCTTGGGGGCCCCTGGAGCCCCCTCTGGCGGCCTCTTGGCTCTGGGGCGTTCTATTTAGGGGGCATCTTGGGGCCATCCTGGGCGCCTCTTAGGCTGCCTCTGGGGCGATACTGGGGGCCTCCTCGGCCGTCCTGGGGGATCGGGAGCACGAACGCACGATGACCCGAAAAGTCCTCCAACAACCTGATGCACTTTCAATGACTGCTGCAACCCGAAGCCTTGCCATCCACGGCGCCCCATCCCGCATCGACTGCGTGCTCGCCAGCCCTGCCGCTGTTGACGCCGTCCAGGCGGCCTGGCTCCGATGGGACCTGGCTCAGGTTGGCCAAGCACGCGTCCGTCGTGGTGGAGCTGCGCGCGCAACGCACCGGGCCAGCGCTGCTCCGCCAGCGGGTGCCCGGCCTGGATGGCCCCGCGGTGGAAGGCTGATCGCAGCACTGGACGCCACGGCCGCCCTCGCGCGAACGCACCGCGGAGGTGCCTTCCGAGCAGCGATGCAGCACCACGACTAGGAAGCACGGCCACCACCCCAGCGCGGCTGCACGCTGCAGCTGCCCTTCGAGCTGGCCGGCCGCCCGCAGCGCGAAGCGAAGGGGAAGCCGCCGAAGCCGCTGCGGAGGCTGCCCTGCTGCGCGTCCGGCGTCGGAGTGTGCAGTATGCGCTCCGCGGCACACCGCGGGCACTGCGAGGCGGACAACGGCTGCGACTGGCCGCTGACACGCGAAACGTGGAGAATTGAGAAAATCAGCATGGGGGAAACGGGTCCTGAGGGAAACGGGTTCTGGAGCCTTCCCCAGGGCGAAAACCTTCATCCTGAGGCGTCCTCTGACAGTCCAGGGGCCCGTGGAAGGCCCCGAGAGCCTGAAAACGGCCCCCGCGCTGGCCGCCTTGCAGCCAGACGGCAGCGCGCGGAGGGTGTGTGTGTGGCAGCTCGAGCGCGCTGCTGCGCGCGGGAGCGGCCGACGGGGTGGCGACGATGGGTGGCGGCGGGCCGTGGCACTTGACTCGCGGCGGCGGCAGCCTTGCGACCGAGCTGGCGCCCGCTGCAGCGGCACTGGGGCCAGCGCCCGCGCCCCAGGCAGCTGGCCTTGGTTGCTGGCCTTGCAAGGCGGCCCCTCAGCGCGGCTGCGCGGTGAGGGCCCCTCTGGCAACGCGCGCTGGACCCGCCCAGCGCCGACGGCGGCTGCATGCGAGAGCTGGACGGGCCACCCGCCTTTCCTGGACGTCCGATGCGATCGGCCCGCTCCTGCGGTGAACGCCCAAGCGCAGGAAGCCGGGGCTCGGCGCGGCAAACACGCCCAGCTGCTGCCGGCAGAGCTGCACTCGTGGATCGCGGACCTCCTGGGGAGGCGGAGGGCAGAGGACATCGCTTGGGAGCTCGCCCTTGGGTAGGAGGCGGCCGACGCCCTCTGCGAAGAGCGGGCGGGCTCTGCTCTGGATTGGCGCACAACGTGCGACCACGTGGGCCTGAGCACGGGGAGGTCGCGGGGCCCGCGCTGACGGATTCAACGGGTCGCTGGGTGCGTGTTGGCAAGGCCAGCAGCTCGGCGTGATCGCCTGTGGCCTCATGCCTCATGCCAGGCTGCCCTCTGGCGGCGTTCGTGCTCGGAATCCTAACGCTGCCATGGATGGTGCGCCTAGGCCGCGTGGGCGACCGCCTCCCTTCGGGTCCGGGTCGCCGCCGCCGAGGCGGCGACGCAGCAGACGAGCTCCGACAGGCGCTGCAAGTTACGAAGGGGTTCCGATGCGGTCATGTACCGGAGGATGAACAAGACGAAGTCCCACCAGTTTCAAGTCGGGCATGTCCTACTACAGGGGAACACACAAAAATAGTAAAAATTGGTCGGAGGACGATGTGTTTTATGATTGAAAACTATTCTGGGATATGTTTGGACTATTTTTCATTTTTCGTCCAGAATGTCCCCCTGCAGGGGGACATGCCCGACCTAACACCAAGTCGCCAGCCGCTCGTTCGGCAGGCTGGGCAAGCTGCTGGCCGGTTGTGACGCGGGCTGCCGGCTAGTGCTGCTGGCCTGTGCGGCGCGGCATGCGAGCGGGCCCCCCGGCGAGGGAAACGCCGGCCCCAGCACGGTGGAGCGGCAAGATGTCTGCTGCGGTGGCATGCGGGCGGCCGCCGAAGTCGTATGCGGTCGAGAGAAGCAATTACTGAAAACTCCCCCTCCCCCCAAAACTCAATGTTGGCACGCGCGGGAGAGACTGCGGTCGAAGTGCATCTCATCAGACCCATCGCCAACTTTCAACATTGGGGGGAGGGGGAAGCGTCGACGGATGAATGTTGCATGTGTTCGCTAATCTGTTCCGAGGCCTGTATCGAGCTGTGGCGTCGAGCTGGCGGCTGGACCCCGCGGCGGCCGCAATGCCGGAGCCGCTCTGGCCGGCCGCCAAGGCACTCCGTCTCGCCGCCTCTCCCCGCAGTTGCGGCAAGGCCCGGCGCGGCCTCCGGAGCCACGCGGGCGGGATCGGGCCTCGCCCTCCCAAGCTTGGCAGAGCTGCACCTGGGCGCGGACGTCCAGCGCTGGACCGGGGCGAGCGTTGCCCCCGCCAGTGGGCGCCCCGCCGACCCGAGTCTGCTGGGGCTCGGAACGAGTCCCCTGCACGAGGCGCGCTCGCTGGCGGAGAAACGCGCGTGGCCTTCCTGCACGCCGCAGCGTTGACAGATGGGCCACGCAGCGGCTGTTGGTCAGCCGCGCGCGCTGGCGACCGATGCCGCAGGGTTCGCTCCGCGTCCGAACCAGTGGCAGCGAACTGGGGCCAGGCCAGCCAGCAGAGTGCCCCGATTGCAGCGCGGCGCAGGAGGCCCGTGGCGGGAACCCGCCAGGCTCGCCGCCCCTAGTGCCCGCGACCGGGCGCCGCGACGCGGTCCGCGCGAGGCTGCCGCTGGAGACCTCCATCCCCTCACGGGGGGTGCTGCCCCAGCACCCGCAGCTGGCGGCGCTCGCGGACTCGCGGAGCCGCGGGGGGGACAAACCCAAGCGCGCAAGACACAACTATCGCATCGCATTCGGCGATCGGGGGGCCTCTTGGACCCGCACCAAAGGCCACTCGAGCGAAAAGTCACTCTTACGTCTGGTCGGGTATACTCAACCGCGACGTGGTGGTCATCCACGACAGGGCGCCGGGCTCGCCCCGTCGCGGATGGCGGCGCGCGCCCCGCTGGGGCGACGACGCGGCAGTGGCGGCCGCCGCGGCCGCCCGCGCGCAGGCTCCGCAGACCGCGCGGCGCCCCGCTGCGACGGCGGGAGCTGCCGCCGCCAGCGCCCTCTTCGCTGGCACTGCGCGGAGGGCCCACGCGGCAGGCCATGGGCTGGCCCGCGCCGCCCGGGCGCCGCCCTGTCCATGGCAGGAGCTGGCAAGCAGGCCGTGCAACGGCGGGGCCCCGGCGTTGCCGCCACGCGCTGCCGCCCTGCTGCTGGCGCCGCGGGCTCGGGCGGGCGGCGCAGCGGTCGGATGGCGCGAGGCGCTGCTGCGGCGCCTTGCGGCGCGCCGGGCGCGCCTGACGTATTGTTTGCATGTTTCCCCACTCCTCCTGCCTTCCTCCTTGTCCTCCTCCCCCCCGTCTCTGCCACAGGGCGCTCTGCGGATGTTTGAAAAAAAGAGGCATCCTGGGTCATCGAATTGCGCATGACAGCAGCGGCTGTGAGCCGCCAAACAAACAAAATAATACAAATCTAGATCAACCGACCGGCATCGCGGGCCCAACGGCCCAGTTGCGTGCTAAAATCTCCGTTGATAAATTCAACATGTCCAGTTCGCGCGCGCCCGGTGGCCCCTATGGGGGTTCCTGGACGAAAAGTACCCTGGGCAGGTCCCGGCAAGGTCCGGGTCACGGATGCCGAAACTCGAGGCGCGGACCTGAGGACCTCCAAAGAAGTGGCAGACCCCACGGCCTCAGGCCAAGAGCGCTCCAAGACGGCCCAAGATAGCTGCAAGACGGCCCAAGGGGGGCTCAAGACGGCCCAAGAGGACTCCAACAAGTCCTGAAGAGGGCCCCACGAAGCATAATTCACAATGTTTGCGAATTTCTTGCCAGTTTGGGGCAGATGTTGGAGTCACCAACTTTTCCGGTTTCCGATCTCCAGGGATGGGCCAATAGGCCGCCAGACCGCCCCAAATCAGCCCAAGAGGCTCGCAGGACGGCCCAACAGGACCCCAAGACGGCCCAAGGGGCCTCCCACGAGAGCTGCAAACACCGAAGAAGGCCCCAAGAGGAGGAATCCAAACTCACATGTCGAGCCTGCCCAGAAATATGTCGACCAGCGCCAAGAGGCCCAAAAGGCTGTCACATGAGGCCCCCGAGATTACAACAATGCCGCCAATAAGTCACCGAGAGGCCTCCGAAGAGACCTCAAGAAGCCTCCAAAAGAAGTATTCGGTACACGACCCAGTTTGGCCCCAAGAGCACCCCGCAAAGCCATCGAGTGCCTGCCAGACATCTCCTGTTGGCCATGAGCAGGAAGACATTCCCAATCGCTCCGACCAGACGGGCACGTGGCAAAGATGACTGTGCGGGCTGGCGGAATGAACGAAACGAGTACATCGAGATATAACAACCGGCTGGCATCGATCCAGCACGTCCTAGCCAGCATCGAACAGCATGGCAAAACTGCTCTTTAAACGGGGTGTCCAGACCAATCGGGGAACAAACAGTGAACTAATACACATGTGGCGAGGACGAGTACAGTGTTGATCCAGGTGTCGAGCGCAGCAACTCACCCATCTGGGCTAAGCACCTGAGGAACCTGTCCTACACACCGACTTCAGCTTCTCAATGGATTGACCACGGTCCAGCCGAAGTGGACACAACATCACCGTTCAACATCATGCGATAACATTGGCCCCTTCGAACTAGCCATGAGCACCATGAGCACTGATGGTATCTCACGTGCAAGGAACACACGAAACGGTCTCTACATGATCGCCTACATTCCATGGTCCCTGATTCCCTAACAACTCTGCCAATGGGGTCAATGTGATTCTCCTCGGGGCGCCAAATGGCCCTGTCGCCCCCCGAAGGTCACTGCTTCGGCCCCAGGGCCCCGACGGTTCCGTTGCCTCCCTGGACCCATTCGACTGTGGCACCATGTCACGCTATCGATCGACGACTCCGAAATGGTGCGGTCTTGGTAAGAGGAGGAGGAGGAGGAGGAGGAGGAGGAGGAGGAGGAGGAGGAGGAGGAGGAGGAGGAGGAGGAGGAGGTGGAGGGGGGTTCGACCCGCGCCTCGGGGGAGGGGGGGGGGCGTGCGAGGGCCTCGACAGCGTGCCCCCGGGCGGGTGCCGACGCGTCCCGACGAGGGCAGCGCGGCGCCCCCAAACCTGAAGGGGCACCAGGACACACGAGTCAGTACACACAAACTTTCGGGGTTGCTGTCTTCCCCCCCACTTCCAATATTTCCTTGCGTTTTCGAAGGAAATCGAGGATGAATTGTGTCTGTGTGTCTCTTTCCCTCCCCCCAAACTGAAGGGGCACAAGGACACACTAGTCAACACACACACACACAAAGAAAACGATTCCTCATGTTTCCCCAACTTTTCGGGGTTGCTGTCTCCCCCCCGCTTCCCATATTTCTTTGCATGTTCTGGTGAATCGAGGATGAATTGTGTCTGTGTGTTTCTCTCCCCCCTGACAGGCCCCCAGCGACGCAGGCCGCGCGCCGCACCCAGGTGCGGCTGGACCCTGCAGTCGCCGACTGCAGCCGGCAAGGGCGGCCTGATCACCCGCAGCGGGGTGCCGACCATAAAGACGCCGACTGGCCACGACGCCCAGGGTGCCACGGGGCACCAGCCCGTGGGGCACCGGCGCGCGAACCAACGGCTGCGCAGACAGCGCCAGTTTATCAGAAGTCAGGGGGCAACCCTCGAATGCAAAACTGATCTGGGAACGAACCCGCGTAATTCAAAAGGGAACCACACCTGCAGTGGCCACGTTGGCGTCATGATGTGTTGATGGACGAACGTTTAGGCATGCGTTTATGTAGCCTGCACTGCCGAACGTCCACCCCAAGATGGCCGCAAAGACCACCCAGCGGGCCCTCAATATGATTCCAGCATTGCCGCAAGACCGTCCAACATAGCTTCAGTACAGCCCCTCCCTGCCCGAGACCGTCTTAAGACTCGTAGAACCAGCCCCGAGCTTCCTCGAACCACGCCAAGGCGGGCCCAAGTTAGCCTGAATGTGGCCCAGACGTTCCCAGCTAGCGTGCCAGGTGGCCCCTAATACGGACCCAATGTAGCCCCAACTCGCCCGAAGTGTGCCCAATGGCATCCTCATTCAATTGCCCTGCCCGGGGCTGGCGGAATCGCGCAAGCTCTATGGTACAGCGGGGGTTGATGGGAGAGGGCACGCGAGAGGACACGAGACACTTTCGAGGGTCACATCGCCACAGGGATGTAGAAGGCATGGGTCGCGAAACACATAGGGCACCAAGGTACCCTTGATCTGGCAGGGCCGACCTACTACCCATCAGCCCCGCCTGTAAGCTTGTTTCAAAAAAAACACCCGCCTGAGGGGCGTGTGTGGTTCGAGGTGGCTGCCCAGCTGGACCTGGACCGCACTGTGACTGCCAGCCCCCTCCCTGGGTGCACTGCGACGCCGACCCGCGGCCGCTGCCAGGCTGGCCCCCCTCAGCCAGGCCGCGCCCGCGCACCCGCCGCGGCCTCGCTGCGTGAGTGCGCCCCCGCGCTCTTCCTCCTCCCCCTCCCTCTGCGGCTGCCTCCTCCCTCCCCCTCCCCGTCACGCATGCGGGCCACCTCGCGACCCCGTGCCCCGGCTTCGCTCGGACGCGCGCGCGCGGGCTGCCTCCGCCTCTCCCTGCGGCGGATCCGTGCGGCTCGGGCGCGAGGGCTCTGTCGGGGCGCTGGCCCCCCCGTGCCCCCCCCCTCCAGCAGAGCCTCCGCCGCTCTGACGACCGCTGCGGCGCCTTCCCTTCCCGGGCTCCAGAACGGCTTCCAGGCGGCGCCCAAGCCGACCCTCGGACTTCATGTCGTCCCCCATGGGCGTTGGGTGCGCGTGGTTGCCCCACGTCGGGCCCTCCAGGACCCCTTCGCGGCCCCCAAACTCTCTTGAGCACACTTTCGCCCACAAGCTGCGAGCTTCAAAAGCAGAGCAAGTCAACTTTTGTTTTTGCGGACGGTTTCCCCACCCCCGCGGGGTCACCAAGACGCCTCTCATCGCCGACTGTAGGGCTCGACTCCAGCATGCTTCTGCATGCAGATTTCGTAATTTGCTGGACGCGCTTCCGATACAAAATATTTGTAGGATTCTTTACTCAAAACGGCCGCGACCCTGACCCAGCCCTAGTGGCATGCGGACGGGGATCGGTCGCCAGGCGGGGATGCTCTCGCCTCGGCCGTCTAGAAGCTCGCCTGGGCCGCCTCGGGTCCATCTGGGCTCCGTTTGGGGCCCGTATTGCGGCCCTCTTCGGCCCCTGCTGCTGCCTCTTCGGCAATCTTGGGTTCATGTTGGGTATTGTTCTGGCTATTTCTGCTTTCCGCTGTGGATATGGGGCAAGGGTCCACAGAACCAACGTCCATGCCACTGACCCGTTGGAAAAGATAATGACGGGCACCGGCCGGCCCCACGGCATAGCTGAGCCCAATCAGCAATGTCATGGAGAAGACATGCAGCAATGGAAACAAAACAAAACACACCAGTACACACACAAGCGCGCGCACGCACACCTGCTGGATCTGGGTAGACGCGAGGGGGGGCCGGCTCTAGGGGGCGGGGGGGGAAACTTCGAGCTGGACTCGGCGTTGCATCGCCGATATCATCGGCGAAAGCCCCCCGACGGCGAACATGCACGCTCTTGGGAGGGGTGGGCTATCAGGCCCCCATCGGCGATCGATGGGCGATGGGGCCCGAGCCCATCCCCTCCCCTAACGCTGCCCCAGAGGCCTACAGTCGGACCCAGGAGAGGAATGTCCTCCAAGGACACGAGGCCTTCCGCTGGCCAAAACACACAGAACATCCGAGGGTGCCACTCCAAGGATGCACAAGAATCTCCAACAGACACGAAAAGCATTAGGGTACCCTCCCCGAACCGACCTCGACCTGATGCCCCGGTCCGACTGCATCATGAAAGAACAAATGAGGAGAGCAGCGTCGGAGAGCGAGGCAGCAGCAGCAGCAGCAGCAGCAGCAGCAGCAGCAGCAGCAGCAGCAGAGCTGGCAGCCAGGGTTGACGGCGGGGGGCGGGGGCGGATCGGCCGCCGTGCCACGCCTCCGAGGAGGGCCTCGGGCACGGGGGCGGTCAGTGCGAGGAGGGGATCTGATCCACATCCACCGCCCTGGGATCCCAGGGTCCTGGGCCACGGGGGGGGGATTGTATAGGGATAGATTTGGGGCCCCCTGCGGCCTCAGTATAGCCACCTGCACCACCCGCCGAGGTCACCCGAGATATCGCCCTCTCTGGGCGGCGGGTTCTGGACGAGCCCCCGCCGGGGAGACGGCGCGCCTGGCCTCAACGGGCCCGTCGAGGTCCGCACCACCATCGTGTCGGGGAGGTGCCAGACCTGGAGAGCAGCAACAAACGCACGCTCACGCTCGAGGAGAGCAGTTATCGTGTTGGGCGGAAGGGGCTCGGAGGACGAAGGGTATGAGCCATAATTAGCATCCGGATGCCATGAACGATACCTTCGGTCGCCGGCGGGTAAACCTATCCTCATGTCGCTCAGCCCTATCCTCCCAACCCGAGAGACTTGTCCTCCTGAAGGAGCACCATCCCGACAGGCCACGCCGTTCCGCAAACGCGCCGAAGGAAAGGATCGGACATGGCCGGGATGTGAAGAGTAAGCTCCCGGGGCCGGTCGGCGGCGAGCCCCGGGGGGGAAAGCGAAGCCGCGAGAGCCTTCTCGGAAGGCTCGCAGGCCCCCCGGCCTTCTGAGAAGCTTCCGAAGCCTTCCCCGAAGGCACGCAGAGAACACTCCTCAGACGGCCAGGGGCCCTGTGCGAAGCCCCGCCGCCCTCCGAGAAGGCCTTCTCCGGCGCAGTGCCCCGCCCCTTCTCGGGTCGGGGTGGCTTCTCCGCCCTCGAGAGGACCATCACCCGGGGCGAGAAGTGGTCCGCGAAGTACAGCGCGCGGACCTGACGGCTCGCGGGCGGGCGGGCGGGGCGCGGCGCGGCACGAGGCTCGCGACGGAGGGAGCCACCGGGCCGAGGCACGGCCAAGACCGGCAGCAAGGATGCGCGAGGAGGGCGCAGGGGCCCTGGGCGCCCATGTCGAGGCTCTGCGAGCGGGGCGCGGCCAGCGAGAGCGGGCAAGGATGGGCCGAAGGGGGAGGGTGCAAGGGGAACCGGGTAACCTTGGGAAGCTGCTCGTCCTTCCTGGGCGGGTTGACTGCAAGGATGCGCGATGAGGATGCAGGCGCCTTGGACGCCCATGCAAAGGCTCTTCGGGCGGGGCTGGCCATCGAACGCGGGTAAGGGTGGACCGAAGAGGCAAGGATGCCAGGGTACCCTTGGGAAGATGGCCCATCGTTGCCGTTCCCAGTGGCAGGCGTGGGACGCGAGTGAGATCGTACCAGCTCTTGTGCAGCAAGCGGCGCCGTCTGCCCACTGCAGGGCAAGGGGCTTCTCGGGTCGGGCGAAAGGGGAGGATAGCAGAGGGGGGGGGTGAGAACCAGCTCACGTAGCTGATTTTCCCGGCGCCTCCTGGCGAAGGAGGCGGCAATGTACTCAGGAATGGGCCCCTCGGTGGGGCCGAAACCAGCTGCATGCAGCAGATTCCTCCCTCCCCCGGGCCCCTTTCGCCCGACCCGAAAAGGGCCTCACGAACGAAAGCGGGCCCGGGGGAGGGAGGAAGCGGGCAAGGCAGGGGGGAGCAGAGCGGGAGCAGCGGGAGAGGGCCGGGAGGCGGCCAGCACGCGCACGCGTGGTGGTGCGAGCCGCTCGGCCGCGCCGCGGGGCGCAGGCGAACGGGAGGCGGAAGCGGATACACAAAGAGGGCGGGCACGACAGGACGAGGACGAGGACGAGCAGAGCTAGGACGAGGCAGGGCTCGAGTTAAACAGTGTTTTCCGTTTTCGTGTTGTGTTCGTCATCCCTAGTTTTGTCTTCGTTCCGCATTTGCTGCAAAACGAAATCAAAACGACAACGGTCCACGGAATTGCCAAAACACCGTTTAGCTCGAACCCTGGGACGAGCGGCATAGCAGGACGAGGAGAGCAGAGCTAGGCTGGCCGACGCAGCCGAATGGAGCAGGGGCCGACCGTCCTGGCACTCCTGCGGGCCTGCCACAGCATTTCCTGAGAACAGGTGGTGTGCTGAGAAGAGAAGGTGCTCTTATGACATCATCTGACGTGTTGGAACAAGACGGTCTCAACCCGACATGTTCTAAAAACATGTTTCGCGCAAGCCGCAAGACCTTCTCAAAACAGCATCTGGTGGGCCTTCTGGCAAGCCAGGACGCTTCGCCACTGCCTGACTGGAAAGAACAGCGAGTCCGCTCTCCGCCCCACCTCATACTTGGACGCCCGAAATGGGTACGGAAAAAATGGGCACAATGCCCAACAACAAGTGTTGTCCCAAACCAACAACGGCCGCTGTTGGGCAGGCGGCCTTCTGTCTCGAATGGACATAGGCCGCGGCGGCGCGGACAGCGAGTCCTGTTCAAGATGAACAGGAACTGCTGTTGGGCATTGTACCCATTCCCCGGAGGAGGAGGGGGAGGAGGAGGAGGAGGAGGAGGAGGAGGAGGAGGAGGAGGAGGAGGAGGAGGAGGAGGAGGAGGAGGAGGGAGGAGGAGGAGGAGGGAGGAGGAGGAGGAAGAGGAGCCACCTCGTTGCTCCAGCCGCCTTCGTGCAGGCAGCCAGAGCGGCAGAGACGCCCCAAGCGTGTGCACGCGCCCAGCTCCTCCGCGCCGGCGCCGCGGCCCCCACGGCCCCCTCGAGCCACGACGAACCCTTCGGCGGTGGACACACCTCTCTTTAGTAAACCTCCCTTCAGAAAAAACGGCCTGGAACCGAAACTGACGGACTTGGACCCGCAACAACGACGGCCGCGACGCCCTCTCGCGAACCGAGAACGGCCAATTCGCTAATCGACGTGTCAGGGTAGGTCTGTCCACCCCCGAAACATTACGACGGAAACGGTTCCACGCATTTCGGCCTCTGGGGGCTCGGACCGGGCCTCGGGACCGTCGAAGAACGACTCGGGTTAAAACCCCTGTCACGGGGAGATGCATCGGCGATGCGGCACGATCCTCCGACACCATCTGCTCGGAACCGACTTGGGGAGGCCTGGAAGTGCTTGGATCGGCGCCGAGGCCAGTCCAAGACATGCGCGCGAAACTCCGAACGCTTCTAGCTGCAGCTGGGCCGAGAGGCCTCTGGGGGGAGGAGGAGGAGGAGGAGGAGGAGGAGGAGGAGGAGGAGGAGGAGGAGGAGGAGGAGGGAGGAGAAGGAGGAGGAGGAGAGGAGGAGGACAAGGAGGCGGAGGAGAAGAAGGAGAAGGAGGAGGAGGAGGAGGAGGAGGAGGAGGAGGAGGAAGAGGAGGAGTGGTCATGCCGCGAACGGCCTCGGGCGCTGCCCGCCCGCAGGGACGAGGACGGAGAGGGCGGAAGCCCCGGGCCGCTCGACTGGAGCTGGACGACTGACACACAAGCCTCAGGTCGGGCATCTCCTCCTACATACTTCTCCTGGAGGAAGACTGAGTAAGACACATCGACCCCCCTAACAGAAATAAAGAACATGGCACAAACAGACCACGACGCCTCGTCACCTGACTATCTGTTACTGTTCTTGGGTAGTCCTCCTGTAGAGGGACATGCCCGACTTAAGGGAACGCCGCCGCCCTGGTTTTTGGTCAGGACGCCGTCGGTGTGGGAGCCTCCCTCGCAAATCTCGGGGATCTTCTGACCCGGGTCAATCCAGACTCGGGTCAGCAGGATACCGAAAAACTGCAACGCAGGGAAAAAAAACTGCAACGCAGGTCTTCGCAAACCCGGGTCAACCAATGTGCGCGGCCGCCTAGCCAGAGGGGGCCTTCGCAGGATCCTGCAGGATCCGGTGCCCTGACTGACCCTCGTTTGCACTGATTCCCGTCTCTTAGGCCCCGAAAATCGGCCCTCGGACATCTCCCGGGGGGCGTCCTGGCCAAAAACTTCGAGGCGGCTCCGGCCGCGGCGCCGAGGCGCAGAGGCTCCCCAGCAGCCCGATCGACGAGCCTCGAGCCTCGGGGCCAAACATTCCTCCTGCAGGGGGGGGGGCCTGCCCGACTTGGAGTTAAATCGGGCGTGTCCCCCGGCAGGGGCATCTTCGACGAAGTTTTTCCCAAAAGTACCCCAACAAAAATACTCCAAGGTGATCAACAAAAAAGCCCACCAAATAGTCTCCCTACTACTTTTTGACTATCTTGGGATATTCCCCCTGTAGGGGGACAGGCCCGACTTAGAGACAAGCCTTCGGAGGCACCGCCGCCGCGCTGCCGGCGGCGGTTGAGCAGGGACCGACCGTCCCGGCATTCCTCGAGTCCTACCACGAAATGCTCTCAGAACCCAAGGATGTTCTAAGAACAAAAACAAAGTTCTTAGAACATAAACCCGATGTTCTAAGAACATTTCGTGGAAGCCACAAAAGTGTTCTAAGAACAAAAACAAAGTTCTTAGAACATAAACCCGATGTTCTAAGAACATTTCGTGGAAGCCACAAAAGGTTCTTAGAACATTGTTTGGTAGGGCTATAGCCGAGCCAGGACGCTTCGCCACTGCTTGCGGCGGAGCGCAGCAGGAGCAGCGAAGGAGCCTCCCCGGCGGGTGTCCCGGCCGGCCTCGGCCACGCGAGGGCGCCCCGGCGCACGACCGGACGCGCGGCGCGAAGACCGGGGACGCGAAAAGCGCCAAGGCTTAAGTCGGGCCTGTCCCCCTACAGGGGGATTTTCGACGAAACATAAAATATACCCCAAAAATGCCCCAAACAGGTCATAAAAAAATAGTTCCCACATTATGTTTGTATTATTTTTTGGCTATTTTGGGGTCTTTTTCTATTTTGCATCGAAAATCCCCCTGTAGGGGGACAGGCCCGACTAAAGACAAGGCTGGGCCGCAGGGGCAGGGATGCAAGGGGTGACCTCGGGAAGTCGCTCGTCCTCGCTCTGGCCATCGCTCGGGCGTCCATTCCCTGTGCCTTGATCGGTCTCACGCGTGGTTTTCCTCTTTCGCAGGGTGTTCCAGGCTCCTTGGGACTCCCCGCCGAGGCAAAGTGCACACGTCAGAGCGATACCGAGGACTGTGCGGGCTGGCCGTGTCCACAGCCACGCCCTCGCGATCTGGATCCCGGGGCGCGATGATCCTGCGGATCGGCGGCGAGCCCGGAGAGGGGGAGGTGAGGAGGGGCGGGCCTCCTCGGAAGGCTCGGAAGTCCCACGGCCTTCTGAGAATGAAGGGGCCCCAGGACACACAAATAAGTGCACACAAATGAGAATGTTCCCCACATTTTCCCATATTTTTGGGGCTTTTGTCTTCCCCCCCACTTCCCATATTTTCCTATATTTTCTGGGGAATCGACGATGAATTGTGTCTGTGTGTTTTTCTCCCTCCTGAGAGAAGTGTCCTGGGCCTTCCCCGACGGCACGGACAGCTTCTCCGAAGGCGCGAGGGCTTCTGAGATGTCCCGCCGCGTGGGTAGAAAGATGAGGCAGGAAGGCATTGGAAGAAGATTGGGCGTCCGCCCGCCCCCTGAAGGGGAGGGCGGAGGGAATACCACTCGACTCCCGAAGTAGGACAGCGGCTAAAACAGATTAGGATTGGAGCATCCAACAATACCGACTCTCAACGACCGACGAGTAGCGATGTTTGCTGAGACGCAGCCAAGATCGGGACAAACTCTGATAACTCTGGGATCTATGGAAGCCAACATGTCTTGAACATGTATCGGGCGCCGCGGCCATCTCAAATCTTTCCGCAGCGCTCTGAGAGCGTTCCGGAACGCACTGAAGCGATTTATCGCGATCCTAGAGGCCTTCAAAATTTGTGCCGTTCTTCCATACTGGAGGCTAGAACCTCGCTCGCTTTTCGCGCGCGTCTTCCATACTGGAGGCTAGAACCTCGCGTGCTTTTCGCGTGCGCTTAGGTCCTAGCAAGCTCTGGCTGCCGTCTAATGTGTTCGGCATCGGGAAACGTAGTGAATAATTCGTTCTTTGTGAAACTCCCCTTGGGAGTCTTGGGGTCGTCTTGGTCCGTCTGAAGGCAGTCCTGGAGCGTCTTGAAGCCCGCTTGGGCCATCTGGGGAGCATCGTCGGCTTTCTCACGTTCCTCGGGGAAAATGAAAGTGGGCGGGCCCGCGGCCGGGCCTCCAATACCCCGGCGTATGGCAGGTTCGTGTCGGGCCGGCTTCAGCGTTGGTTTCCGACACCGTGGGAATCTTTCAAGCTTGAACGATCGGTCGTTTCCGAAACGTCAGATCGTTCAATGTCGGCCGACTCTGGGTCGCCGCCTGCGTTCCACGTTGAACGCCGGCGGCGGGGTCGCCGCCGGTCAACACGGCGCGAACAGACCTGTGTGAGGAAACCAAAGGGTAACGATACCGCTACTCCCCAGAGCTCTCGCGAGGTGCGTTCTGACCAGGACTTCGGGGCGAGAATCCAGCGGTGGCGACGACGGTCTCCCAGCAACGAGAAAGCGGGCGATGGGGCAACGGTAGGGGTACCGCCTCTTCCTCCTCTGCGTATGATATAAGTGCCAACCACGGCGGGCCTGCGCCGCTTCTGCGCCGAAGTGCTCCCCCCCCTCCCCCCGCCCCCCCGCCTCTTCCCCCCCCTCCCCCCCCCCGCCTCCCCGTCACGTGTGCAAGATCCGCGGGGGGGGGGAGGAGAGGAGGAGGAGGAGGAGGAGGAGGAGGAGGAGGAGAGGAGGAGGAGGAGGAGGAGGAGGAGGAGGAGGCGGGGAGGAGGAGGGGAGGGGGAGGGAGGGGAGAGAGGAGGGGAGGAGGAGGATGAGGAGAGGAGAGGAGGAGGAGGAGAGGAGAGGAGGAGGAGGAGAGAGGAGGAGGGGAGGAGAAGGAGGAGGGAGGAGGGGAGGAGGAGGAGGGGGAGAGGAGGAGCAGGAGGAGGAGGAGGAGGAGGAGGAGGAGTGCCCGGCGGCGCAGGCGCGCGGGGGAGCGCGCAGGGGGAATGGGCCTCGGGGCACCAGCACAGGCACCCCACGACGAGGTCCAGCGTCCACCTCGGCAGGCGGCACCGCGGCAGTCGGGCGCGGGAGCGGCCGCAGACGGGGCTGCGCCCGTGGCCTCCTCTCTCGCGCCCCCGTCGCGCTGCGCGCGCACGGCACGCTCGGGGCGGAGGCGACAGAAGCAAGCCCAGCCTCCTCCTCCTCTTCCTCCTCCTCCTCCTCCTCTTCCTCCTCCTCCTCCTCCTCCTCCGCCTCCGCCTCCGCCTCCGCCTCCGCCTCCGCCTCCGCCTCCTCCTCCTCCTCCTCCTCCTCCTCCTCCTCCTCCTCTTTCTCCTCCTCCCCCTCCGAAGATACTGCATACGTGACGGGAAGGCGGGAAGGGGGAGAGGCGGGGGAGAGGGGGGAGGAGGGGAAGCGCGGCAACGTGGCGAAACCGAGACGGTGACGAGGCGGCAACGAGCGACGACGTGGAGAAACGCGCCAGCCCCAACCAGCGCACGAGGCGGCAACGAGGCGGCAACGAGGCGGCCACGTGGCGAAACCTCGCCAGACCCAACAAACGCATAAGGCGGCAACGAGGCGGCAACTGGCGGCAACGTGGCGAAGCCTCGCCGGACCCACCCAGCGCACAAGGCGGCAACGAGGCAGCAGCCTGAGAGAACGCCGCGGAGGCGGCAACTGGCAGCGACAATGCGACACCTCGCTGGATCCACCCAGCGAACGAGGCGGCAACGGGCAAGGCGAAATCGAGACCGCAACGATTCGGCAACGGGCGGCGACGTGGCGAAATCTCGCCAGACACAGCCAACGCACGAGGCGGCAGCTGGGCGGCAATGAGCGGCAACGGGGCGACACCGCGCCAGACCCACCCAGCGCACGAGGCGGCAACGAGGCGGCAGCGAGCGGCGAGTCAAGACTCGAGACACGGTGGCGGAGTGTTTTTCCAAACCTGTGCTGAGGTGCACGCAGGGTTCTGTCTCCTCTCCCTGAGGACTTGGTTTTATCCAGCCACAGGATTGTCCGCGCGCCCGCCGGTCGCCGCCTCGTGGCCGCCTCGTGCGCTTGCTGCCGCCAGCGAGGTGTCGCCACGTTGCCGCCGCGTTGCCTCCTGGCCCCGGCGAGGTCTCGACGCGTTGCCGCCCGTTGCCGCCTCGTGCGCCGGGTGTGCTGGGTGAGGCTACGCCATGTTGACGCCCGCTGCCGCCTCGTTGCCGCATCGTTCGCTGGGTGGGCCTGGCGAAGTTATCGGGCCCCCGAGACGCCGCAGTCTACCCATGATCATGCCTCATCCTGCACTTTCGATTTGCACTCGTACCATCCCAGCCCAGCCAGTATTGACACCCCCGGATGCAATTCAAATCATACTATTCGCGCGCACTTGTTATTCTCAAACAAATAATTGTCCAACTATCCCTGGCGGAACATGCCACGAAGCCCACGCGCACGCCGCCGCGCGCGCATGTCAACATCCTTCAGCAACCACTGCATCGACGGTTGGGAGGTGAGTTTCAATTTCGTGTCGTGCGCGCGGGCGGGAGAGGCGAAGCTGCGCGGGCGGGCGAGCGGAATGAACTCGCCATTGCTAGGGCGAGACTGGGCCAAATGATGTTGCACCCCCCAATTGGCTGGCGGTGGCCCGGGGGTGTCCCGCCGGTTGGATTGCGGTAGCTTGCGAGTGTTCCGATGGTGTCTCGATGGTGTTCCGTTGCTGTCTCGATGGTGTCCCGATGGTGTTCCGATGGTATCGCGCTTGTGTCCCGATGGTGTCCAGATGGCGTGCCGATGGTGTTCCAATGGTGTCCACATGGTGTCCACATGGTGTTCACATGGTGCTCCGATGGTGTGCCGATGGTGTCCTGATGGGTGTCCCCATGGTGTCCCTATAGTGAACCGATGGTGTCCCGACGGTGGCCAGATGGTGTCCTGATGGTGTCTCGATGATGTCCCAATGGTATTACGATGTTATCCCAATGGTGTCGCGACGGTGTTCCGATGGTGTTCCGATGTCTGTCGCGTAGGATCAACCAGAGAAGAATTACTGAGATCGATGGATAGCGAGACCGATCGATACGGAGGTCAATCGATAGACAGTGGGATCGATTGTGAGATGGATCGTGAAACCAATTAATAGTGATGTTGAAATATTGATGCAGTGGCTGGGGGTAGGATCGATCGTGAGATCGATGAGCCTAAACTGAGACCGATGGAAAGAAAATGCGGCCGATCGTGAGACCGATGGACGGGTGGTGAGTGCGATGGTGGGGTCGACAAACAGACGGTCCCGATGGCGTCCCATCTCGGGCCGGGCGAAAGGGGGGGATAGCAAAGGGGGGGCTTGAGAATCAGCTCACGTAGCTGATTTTCCTGGCGCCTCCCGGCGCCGGAGGCGGCAAAGTATCGAAGAATGGGCCTGGCGGCGGGGCCGAAACCAGCTGCATGCAGCAGATTCCGTACCCCCCCCTTTCCCAATCCCCCCCTTTCGTCCGGCCCGACCATCGCAATTGTCGTGAGTTGGTTTCACACACTGCTCACTCCTCGCCCGAAGGGTGGCCGGATAGTTCTTGACCATGTCAAGAGATGCCTAGCCCAAACTGAGTAGAAACCAAAAAAAGGTGGCGCTTCAACGAAGAACTAGTCCGAACATCTGCGCGCACATCCACTGTCAGACTGCCAGCTCTCAGCAAGCATGGTGAAGATTTGTTGCTGCTTCTAGGAGAAACGAAAAGCAGACACGCACAACGGCAGTGCGTCTTCGAACGTGGCTTTGAGCCAGCATCTCAAATCAGTCCACCCGCGCCACTCGCGCGCACGCAATTCGACAACGTTCAACCACCAGCGCGCGCCCACCGGCTTCAACCAAACAACACCAGGCGGGCCACACACGCAAGCTTCCGCGCGCGCACGTCCAGATCGTGCCCAGATGCAACGGTTTCTCCTGGCGCGCACTTCAAGACCATCCTCACAGCCGCAATCGTCATCATCGCCGGCGTCGCGATTGCCCTCGTCGTCATTCTCATCATAAGCATCCTCACCACCAACAGCACCATCCTCAATATCATCACAGCCGTCGTTGACCTCATCGTCGACGCCGCCGCCGATGTCGACGTCACCATGGCACCGCGCCAGCCCGAGCCACCGACCCACACTGAAGCGCCCGCGCGCGAGGGAACGGCGCGAACACCAGAGTCCCTCCTGATGATGGGCATGTTTTCCACCACCACCATAAGTGGGAGGGGGGGGTCCTCCTCCTCCTCCTCCTCCTCCTCCTCCTCCTCCTCCTCTTCGTCCTCCTCCTCCTCCTCGTCGTCGTCCTCCTCCTCCTCGTCCTCCTCCTCCTCCTCCTCGTCCTCCTCCTCCTCCTCCTCCTCGTCCTCCTCCCCCCCATCCAACTTATGGTGGTGGTGGTGGAAAACAGGCCATGAACACCAGAGCCCCTCCCGAGCCCCAAGCGGTCTTGACTCTGCGCGCTGCTGCCGGCTGCCTCCCGCAGCCCCTCCCCTCGGGCTCTCCGTGCTCACTCGGCTCGGGGCAGAGATGGACAAGCGCGCTCCACGACTCGCAGGGTACCAACTCGCACATGGCCTGGATCCGCCTTCAGGGACTTGCGCTACGCTGCACGGCTGCAGGCATATGTGTGTGTGTGTGTTTTCCGACGTGTGCGAGCAATTGAGCAGGGGCCGACAGTCCCAGCCTTCCTAGAGTCCTACCACGAAGTGTTCTTAGAACCCACACGTGTTCTAAGAACAAACAAAATGTTCTTAGAACATTAACCCGATGTGTTAAACCAAGACAGTCTCAATCAGACATGTTCTAAGAACCTTTCGTGCAAACCACGAAAGGTTCTTAGAACATTGTTTGGCCTGGTAGGACTTTAGGCGAGCCAGGACGCCTCGCCACTGCTTGAAGTAGGCACTTTGCGAGCAAGGGGACGCGCTCGCTGAAGACGGGCGCCCTTCGCGGCCCGGCCGAGGCGCGCGCTTCTTGACCAGGTTGAAGGCGCTGTCCTGCCCGGAGCCGGCGGCACGCCCGATGGGGGAGAGCGAGGGGGCGGGCCTGACCGGAAGGCTCCGGAGGCCTCCAGCCTTCCGAGAGGCGTTCTGCAAGCGGGCCTGGGGCGGAAGGACGTGCTTCATGCACAGGAGGCCCTCAGCTGGCCAGAGCTCACAGAACATCCAAGGGGGGTACCCTCCCCAGGATGCGTGAGAGCATGCGACAAGCACGAAGAACAGCAGGGTAACCCCCCGGAGCGACCTGCATCTCATACCTCGGTCCGATTGTAAGCCTTCCCTGCAGCCGCACACGGCTTCTCACAAGGTGCGAGGGCTTCCTGGAAGCCCCGCCAGCTTCCGAGAAGGACTGCCCCCTCTCCCGTCCTCCCTGGAGAGCCCCGCCGGACGGCAGGGGGGGCTGGAGGAGCAGGGGCAGCAGAGGCAGCTGCAGCTGCAGCAGGCGCCAGGGGAGGGAGGGGGCCAATGAGAGGAGGAAGGGGTAATGGCCAGCTGCTCCCCATCTTCAGCACCATTAATCTCTCTCCTCGCGGGGCATTCACATCAACGACGGACAGGCCACGATGTAGCCATTAACTGCAAGCAGAGACAACCCGATCACCTGTAGATGCAGCCTGCCTGCGACAAGAACGGCCCTGTCGCCCTCAAAGAACGGACCTTACCCAAGATCAAAGCAGGATATCGCAGGCCTAGAGGTTGACACCAACACCAAGATCGGCGGTGTACCTCCACCGAGGGAGGACGACCCCGATCTCGGTGCTGATGGTAATATTCTGGCTTCCAAGCTGGCCGAAATATTACCTCCAACGCCGAAATCTAGGATCATCTTCCCCCTGTGGAGGCACCCCCCTGTGTTGGTCTTGGTGCCTATTTCCAGACCCCCAAGGATAGAGTAAGATCACATAAAAATGGGGGGAAGGGAGAGGGCAGCGGGGAGATGCATGGAGCTGTGCAGGAGTTGGGGTGGACTGAAGGCAGTCATACTTCCAAGCTCACGCGCTGGGCCTTCACGGCCGACCCCTGCCAGGGTTGCAAAGGGGAAAGGATCCAAACTGCTAGGGATCCCCTGCTCCTGCATCGGGCATCTCTCAGGGGAGATGAGGTGCGGGGCGGGCAGGTGGGAAAGAGAGAGGGAAGACAGACACCGAGCGTCTCCCAGAAACAGATCAGCTTGTCGTTCCCCGAGGTCACGATCCACTCGAAGGGCTGCGGCAGAAACACTGCGCTCAGCACGTCGCTGTGGTGGCCGTCGACTCGCCTGCCGATCTAGGAGGAGGAGGAGGAGGAGGAGACACCCGACAGCAGAAACCAGAACATCTCAACTTCGTCCCTCAGAGGCTCGGACTAACTAATTACGGATGGAATTCTTGCTTAGCGTATCGCGGCGGCGGCCCCGGCAAGAAGCTTTGCCCTGCAAGGGGATCGCGTGTCGCTCCGCTTCGCCTGGGAGCAAGGCCGTGCTTGGAGCGTGGTGCCGACGCGTGGCGGGCCAGAACCTGCGGCGCGACATGCCACGAAACAATTCCTGCCCGTACTATCTGCGGCGAGGTGGGGAAGGAGGCCGGGGCGGGACAGGAGCAGGACGAGCAGGAATCCGTGGCACCTCAGGACCCAATGGCCAGCAGTAGTGCTGCAGCTCATTGCACCCGCAAGAGAACTGAGTCGGCCCACCATGCAAGGGCAATTACCCCGACGGTAGGACCCCGCGCGTCCTTCTCCTCCTCCTCCTCCTCCTCCTCCTGCAGTCTCCTCCCGCGGGAACCTCCTCCCCCTTCCTGCTTCTCCTACCTCCTCCTCCACTTCCCGACTCCTCCTGGAGCTCGCTGCCTCCCCGTAAGGCTTTCATGGGCTTCCTGGCGCCTCCTGGAGCCAATTGGACCAGCAAGTCGACGTATGTATGGTTCTTAGCAAGTCGACGTATGTAAGTGCTGGTTCTTAGCAAGTCGACGTATGTATGGTTTGGATGGTTTTCATTGCCTGTGCCTCCGCACGATCTCGAGGATCACGCCTGCTGATATTTGAAGAAGTGAGCAGCGCAATCGTCTAAGACACGACGGGGCAATCGCTCTCACCAGAAACAGTGGTTCGTCGACAGCTCTTCCTGCTAGCAACTCTTCCTGCTAGGGGGGGGGACCAGGTCACCGGAAGGGAATTCCCTAAGAGAGGCCACGTTCTGCCCTGGATCTTGCCGGCCAGCATCAGCATGGCACGTGAAAAGAAGATGGTAGGCCGCGTGCGGACTGGACATCCCAAGTGCTACGTGCTGCTTGCAAAGCGGCAGGCGGCACGGCCAAAGTGACCCCGATCTTGACCAGCGAAGCTTTCTGGCGGAATTCTGACCGTCCAGCGAAGCTGTCAACGTAGTGCTGAGCAGCCCGAGAAGACTCGAAGTATTGCAGGTTTTCACATCCCGTGTCCTACGCTCCTGCGGGTGTATGACTTCTTGCGTGCTTACTTGGCTCACACGTTTCCTGCCCCCAGGGAGCTCCACCTATGGCCCCCAATTGGTGCGTTCGAATGGCGCTCCCGCGCCCATGTCGGCGTATCCCTCACACGTTTCATGCCCCCCAAGGAACTCCACCCATGGCCCCATGGGGGTATGTTCGCATGGCATCCCCGTGCTCATCTCGGTACATCCCTCGCACGTGTCGTGCCCCACCGATGGGTCGACTTGGACCACATTGGAATCCAATAAAAACCGAGCACGAGGCAAACTGGGGCCGAGCAGATCCGTCAGGTAGGCCCTGGGAAGGTCCCTGAAACGAGCATGAGGGGAAGAAGATCACGGCAGCCCCAGGGAGGCTGCAAGCAGTGGACCACACCGCGTGTCCGCATCAACAAACTCCTCCTGCGCATCCTCCTCCCCTCCCCCTCCCTTCCCCTCCCCCTCCCCCTCGCTCCATGTCCTGCTCCTGCGCCTCATCCCGGCGCGTGCCCAGGTCCTCCTCGTCCATCTCCTCCTCATCCTCGGCCTCCTCCTCGAGGAGGGGAGTGACTCAGTTCCCCCTCCTTTCCATCCTCCTCGACTTCCTCGTCCGTCCTCCTCTCCCGTCCTCCTCGCCCCCCTCGCGTTGTCCTAGTTGTCCTCCTCGTCCTCCTCTCGTCCTCCGCCTCCTCGTCCTTCTCGTCCTCCTCGTCCACCTCTTCGTCCTCCTCGTCGTCCTCCTGCTCGAGGAGGGGTGGGGTGGGTGGGGGGGCACCCTCCTCGACAGAGGCATATGCCGGGGCGGCCGCGGCGGGAGGGGGGGAGGAGAGGGGAGACGCGTCCCCTTTCTCGACGGCACGGCCCAAAAGGAGGGAGGAAGGGGGGAGGGAGGAAGGAGGGGGAGGGAGGAGGGAGGAGGGAGGAGCAGAGGGGGAGAGGAGGGAGGAGGAGGAGAAGGGAGGAGGAGGGAGGAGAAGAAGGAGGAGGAGGAGGATACGCAGGAGGAGGAGGAGGAGGAGGAGGACCAGTGCAAACCCAAGACGCATCAACGAGGTTGCAATATATTATCCCTCAAAGTTCCATCCTCACGAGACCCTCGGGGAATTTAGTTGACTTGCGGGCAATGCCCCATGAAAAAACAACCGTACGCAAATCCTCGGCTCTGCCAAAAAATGGTTCCTGAAACTCCAACGCCGCGAACCAGCGTGATTGTTGTGCCCTGGCAGCCCTGAATCGCCCAGAATGCCGTTCCTGTGGACTTCAACGCAACGAATCAACGTCAGCTTCGCGTATGGATAGTTAATCCTTAAAGGTGCTACAGCATCATGACTGGACCTTCAGCCTCACAGTTGCTTGAAACTGTTGCAGGCGTTTCAGCCGAATGTGCGCGGCGCTCAGGCGAGAGCCACATTTCAGAAAGAACCAGCCTCCGCTCCGAAACTGCTGTAAACTTTGGAGACGAATGCGCGCCGCGCCAACTCGAGAGCCACATTCTGAGAACGACGTGTGCGGAGGCCTCAGGCGAAACGCCCGGCCGGGCCCACCAACACGTGGTGCGACGGGGAGGCATTCTGCAGAATGGGAAGGGATGGAAGGAGGGCGAGGGCGAGGTCTGGCCGTCGCTCGGACGTCCATTCCCTGTGCTTTTGTTGGTTTCGTGCATGGTTTTTTTCGCCAAGTGATCAAGGATGCTCCTCGATGGTCCCCGCCGAGGAAAAAACTGCACACGACCGAGCGATGCCGAGGAGAGGGATGGAAAGAGGGAGAGGGCGAGGTTCGGTCAGGGATTCTTGCTTCGCGGGTCGTCGCGGCGGCGGCCCCGTCGCTCCGCTCCCCGTGGCGGGAGGCTCGGACTACTCTGGACTCCGATGCCCGGGGACCACGGCTCTCTCATGCCCGGGGACCGCGACGAGCAGCAGGCCGGAAGCGGTAGAGCCACACGCTAGGCCAAAGTTCCAAGCCGCTCGCGCATCGACGGACGTGGCGTACGTGTCGTTGACGTCGACGTCGTCCACGTCGGCGTCGACGTCGACGCCGACGCCGACGTCGTCGTTGTCGCGGCCGTCGTCATCGTGTCGCCCACGGATGAGTAACCAAAAAAAGGACTCCTAACCCTTCGGGAGGGGACCTAAGCCAGGAGGGCCCAAAACACATTAGGGACATGGGGCCTTTTCCGACGATGCCTCGAACCAGACCGTCAAGATTGTTCATCCCCAGTGCACCGACGGGGACCTTAATGAGGCCACGTCTCCATCGTGAGCGGACGCCCACGATGGAGACGTGGCCTTTGTAGGTTCGCGCCTCCATCGTGGAACGTCCTGTCCAGGAGATAGGGGTTCTCTTGTCCTCGGTGAGCGGACGCCCGCGGGGCCGCGCACCCCGCGCGCTTTGGGCGACCGCGCAGCCCGAGACCGTGCGGTGACAGACCGTGCGGTGACCTCGGCACTCGAAGAGGCCTCACCGCACGGCCCGTCACCGCACGGCCTTGGGACACCACACGGTCCCAAAGATCCGACGTCGTGATTTGTTCAATGCGCGGTCCCCCGAAGTCTCGATCCATTCCCCTGGACCGGTTTTTCACCCCGAGTTGTTTTTTATGGTCCCGAGGCCCGGCGAGGGCCCCTAGAGTCCCAAAATTGAGAGAAACCTCCATCTTGATGTTTTCAATGCGGAGGAGGAGGAGGAGGAGGAGGAGGAGGAATAGGAGGATGAGGATGAGGATGAGGATGATGATGAGGATGAGGAGGAGGAGGAGGAGGAGGAGGAGGAATAGGATGATGATGATGATGATGATGATGATGATGATGATGATGATGATGAGGAGGAGAGGAGGAGGAGGAGGAGGAGGAGGAGGAAAGGGAGGAGGGTGTGGCCACCACCCCGTCTGGGGACCCCCGGCACCCCCCTGCACGGGGCGCGCCCGCCTCCGGCGCTGCAGGGTGCCCGGGCGGTGCAGGTGGAAGCTGCTCTGGCCTCGGCCGCGCGCGGCGGGGGGCGCTCCCGGGCACTCGCCGCCAGCACGTGGCGGCGCGCACAGCAGGAGGAGGAGGAGGAGGAGGAGGAGGAGGAGGAGGAGGAGGAGGAGGAGGAGGAGGAGGAGGAGGAGGAGGAGGAGGAGGAGGAGGAGGAGGAGGAGGCGGCGCGCACAGGGGTTTGGGGGGAGGGGGGAAGGCTGCTTAGAAGGAGTCTGCTTCTCAGAAGGAGGTGGCCCTGCATCTTCAGGGAAGGCCCACACCAGAAGCCTTCCCCCCTCCCCCATACCACCCCTCTGCGCGTGGCCGAAGCACGTGGGCACCCGCATGCTGCACGCTGGGGGCGTGGAACTCCCAGGGGACGGTGCCCTGCCCTTCCACCTTCGGTGGCAGCTCGTGGAAGCCTCCCATACCATCTTGTCGGCTCTTGCGAATCGACGCTAAATCGACGCTAGTCGACGCTTGGTCGGCGCTCCTCGACGCTAACTGACACCAAATCGGGGCTATCTCATCGACTCCCAGACGCTGATCGACGTTATTCGACACAGAAATAGGGACATGAGAGGGTATACCAGGCTCCCATGATTTGCTTCCGAATTCCAGCTGCCTCCTCCTCCTCCTCCTCATCATCATCCTCGCTCCGCGCGGATTTCGCGGATCCACGCTGGAACCCCCTCCCTGGCGCGCGGAGAGCGCCACGGGCGGCGCCAGAGGCGCCGCCAGGGGGGGGGGGAACGGGGGCAAGCGCGGATCCAAGAAAATCGCAAACAGCGCCAAGGGCTTTATGTTCCTGGCGTTTTCTTCTCCTCCGAAGGCCTGGAGGGGAGGCGAAGCGGGGAGGACGACCGGGGCTCGCCCCCCTCCCCCTCGGGCGGCTGGCATGATGGGGGGTGACCTCCCTGGGGGGTGCAGAAGAGGGCCCTGTATGGGGCACCTTCGGGCCCCTTGGGGAGCTAGCGGGGCCCGAGCGGGGCCCGAAAGGCCCACTTTGGGGCCCTTTTCCTCTCCCCCTGGAGGCCTGGAAATGGGCACGAACACCAACACAGGGGTCTGCCTCCACAGGGGGAAGATGATCCTAGATTTCGGTGCTGGTGGTAATAGCTCGGCCACTCTGGAAGCCAGACTATTACCACCATCACCGAGATCGGGATCTTCTTCCCTCGGTGGAGGCACGCCGCCGACATTGGTGCTGGTGTCAACCTCTAGGCCTGCAATCCTCGCTCCTCCTCGCTCCTCCTCGCGCTCCCCCGAGCCGCGCGCGGGCCCTCCGTGCCGGCGACGGGCGCGCGCGCGCGCGCGCCGCGAGGGCAGCGCGAACCCGAGGCCCGGGCCCTCCTCGAAGATGACCACGCTCTCGAAGGGGTGCTCCTCGCGGGCGGCGGGCACGGCCGCGCAGTTTCAAAGCGTATGGTAGGGACGCACGTTGCAGCCCCTCCCTCGCCCCTTCCTCCCCTCCCTCCGCTCCCCTCCCCTCCCTCCGCTCCGCTACCCTCCCTCCCCTCCCCTCCCCTCCCCTCCCTCCCTCCCTTAGGGGAACAGAAAGTGGCATGAACATAACAACTCGGAGGTCCGCGCGGATCTCTCGGATCGGCGCTGGGGCCCCCCGGCGGCGCCTCCGGCGCCGCCCCTGGCGCGCTCCGCGCGCCAGGGAGAGGGGTCCAGCGCCGATCCGAGAAATCGGCGCGGACCTCCGAGTTGTTATGTTTATGTCACTTCTTGTTCCCCTATCCCTCCCTTCGTCCGCCCACTCGTAGCAGGATGCAAACCGTAAAGTAAGGGCGCAGGATACAGCCGGACCTGGGCCAGAATACCATCCTGCATAGAGGAACAAGAACGGCACAACACACAACCTCTTGGTGGAGGTCCGCGCGGATTTCTTGAATCCGCGCCGGACTCCTTGGCGGCGCGGAGCGCGCCAGTGGCGGCGCCAAAGGCGCCGCGAGGGGAGCCCAGCGCGGATTAGAGAAATCCGCGCGGAGCGCCACAAGTTGCTGCTTATGTCGTGTTTCTTCTGCGAGTATCGTCAGGGCGCACGATACAGCCGGACCTAGGCCAGAATAACATCCTTCAGGAGCATGAGACCCTCCGTCGACCACAACGAGCAGAGCATGCAAGGGTAGCCTCCCCCAGGATGCACAAGAACATCCAACAGCCACGAAAAGCTCTAGGGTACACTCCCCGAACCGACCTCGATCTTACACCTTGGTCCAACTGTAAGGATACAAGGGCCTTGGACGCCCATGCCGAGGCTCCTCGAGCGGGGCTGGTCATCGAGAGTGGTCGAGGATGAGCCAAAGATGGCCGAACAGGCATACTATCAACCCATGTCGTAAGGATGCGCAGTAATCGAACATGTAAGGGCCTTGGCAAGCCATGTGGTGTTTTGTCGAGAGGGCTGGCCAGCGAAAGCCGGCAAGAATGGGCCGAAGGGGCAACGATGCAAGGGCAACCTTGGGAAGTCGCTCATCCTTACTATGCGGGTTGATTGTATCCTTACTATGCTCGCCCTCGCGATCTGGATCCTGGGGCTCTACCCCATGGATCGGCGCCGAGCCCGGGGGGAAGTCAGAAGGCGCGGGCCGTCTGAGAGGTTTTCCAAGCCTTCCCCGAAGGCACAGAACACCTCTCATCAGAGCCCCGAATCATCAGGGGTAACTCGGGTCAGGGGTAACTCGGGGTCGTTTTTCGGGATTCCGATCCCGAGTTACCCCGGACCCGACTTACCCCGGATAATTCGGGCGTCCAAAGCCCCAAATCATCAGGGGTATCTCGGGTCAGGGCTAACCCGGGTTGGTTTTTCGGGATTCCGAGCCCGAGTTGCCCCGGACCCGAGTTGCCCTGGATAGTTCGGGCGCCCAATCTCAGAAGGCGCGAGAGCTTCTGAGAAGTCCCGCCGCCTTCTGAAAAGAGGCCTCCTCCTTCTCTCTTCCCCCCCTCGCTCGTCGGGAGCGGCCAAGAAGGGGGTGTCCAAGAGGGGGGGGTGCAAATCATGGCCGGCGGCATGTGCGCGGCCCAGCGGGGGGGCCAGGAACGCAATGAAACAAGAAGAGGCGCCATGAAATCTGGAGAGATATCATGGCCCGCGCCATGATATCCACCACCCCTTTTGCCGCCCCCGAAACAGGCCCGACTTAAAAACAATGACAAGCTGCACGTCGTGACTCTTGCCTTAAGTCGGGCCTGTCCCCCTACAGGGGGATTTTCCACGAAAAATCAAAAATACTAATCCCAAAAATCGTCTGGGGACTATTTATTTGCTATTTTTTGACCTTTTCCGCCCCCGAGCTCGCCGCCGAGCAACGCCGCGCAGCCCTCGCGGGCCGCCATCCCCGGGGCGCGCTCCCGTGGATGCGCGGTCGCTCGGCTGCGTCCCGCGCGGGGGGCGCCCGCGGGTACCAGGCGCCCCCAGACTGAAGGTCGGGCCTGTCCCCATACATCAAGGGGAACTGGGACACACAAGTAAATACACACAAATAAACATATCCCCCATCTTCTTCCATAGTTTCTGGGTTTTTGTCTTCCCCACCGCTTCCCATATTTTCCCATATTTTCCTGGGGATCGACGATTAATTGTGTCTGTGTGTTTCTGCCCCTCCTGAATACAGAGGGATTCTCGACGAAAAATGAAAAATACCCCAAGAATGCCCCAAAGAGGTAAAAAATACTCAAAAAAAATCCCCGGCTCAGCTGGCAATCGCTCGGGCGTCCATTCCCTGTGCTTTTTTCGTGGTTTCGTGCGTGGCTTCTTCGCCAGATGATCAAGGGATGCTCCTCGATGGTCCTCGCCGGAAAAAAATACGTGCGTGGTTTTTTCGCCAGATGATCAAGGATACTCCTCGATGGTCCTCGCAAAAAAAATACACACGTCCGAGCGATGCCGCGGCTCAGGGCCCTGGCCCCGCGAGGCCGTGGACACGGACAGTGGCTTCCGCCCACGGGCTCCGGCCAGTAGAACGCCTTGTCGAAGTGGCACTTTGTGATTCCAGGGCGGCACGGCACGGTGACCTGTCGGGTCGGACGGAGGGGGCGGCGGGGGAGAAAGCAGAGGGCAGGGGGGGGGGCTAGCGTCAGGTCGGGCGTGTCATCCGATAGGCGGATTATGAACGACAAACGAAAAGCAGTCAAAACAGATTCGAACATAATACAAGGTAATGGAAAAAACCGTCCCCAAACGATTTGTTGACTATCTTTGGAATGTTCCTCCTGTAGAGGGCCACGCCCGACTTAAGGCTAGCGACACAGCTGACGTAGCAGGGTCTTCCCGGCGCCTCTCAGCGCCAGAGGCGCCGACGCCTTCGAGAAAACGCTCGGCGGCGGGGCCGGAACCAGCTGCATGCAACAGATTGCGTGACCCCTCCTTCGTATGCGCCCCCCTTGGCCTTCTCGCCTCCTCGTCGCCCACCCCCTCGCCTCCTCGCCTCCTCGTCGGCTTCCTCCTTGTCGCCTCCTCCTCGCCCCCCCCCCCCCCTCCCCTCGCCTCCTCGCCTCGTCGCCTCCTCGTCGCCTCCTCGTCGCCTCCTCGTCGCCTCCTCCCTCCGCCTCCTCCTCCTCCTCCTCCTCCTCCTCCTCCTCTCCTCCTCCTCCTCCTCCTCCTCCCTCCTCCTCCTCCCCTCCTCCTCCTCCTCCTCCCCCTCCCCCTCCCCCTCCTCCTCCGCCCCACCCCCCCTCGCCTCCTCGCCTCCTCCTCGCCTCCCCGTCGCCTCCTCCTCGTCGCCGCCTCGCCTTGCCCAATCCTAGGGAGCAGCATGCTGTATGCGCACAGGCTTCGGGAGGCCCGCGCGGATCTCTTGGCTCGGCCCTGTAAGCCCCGCGCGCGGACCGCGCCGAGGGCGGCGCCGGAGGCGCCGCCAGGGGGCCCAGCGCCGATCCGGAAGCTCCGCGCTGAGCTCCAAAAGTGTCTGCTGATGCCGACTTGTCTTCCTCGGAATGCCCCGTCTCGTCTGAGGTCGGGCATGTCCCCCATACAGGCGGATTTTGAGGGACAGATCAAAGAGATAGTCGAAACATGCTCAGAATGCTCCCGAAGAGCCCAAAGAAAGCTGAAACAATTCGTCCCCTGACCATTTTTTGCTGATGTTGAAGTTTCCTCCTGTAGAGGCACGCGCCCTACTTGAGCCTCTGCCGAGCTGTCTTCCTCGGAGGACCACCCCCCCCTCGCCCGACCCGAGCCTTGGACGGCTCGAACTCGAAGACCTGCCCGGAGAGGTCGGCTGCGTGCAGGCGCAGCTCCTCTGCCACGGCGCAGACGAACTCCACGAACTCGATCCAGGTCGCCTCGCCGGACATGTCGGAGTCGATGCCCTCGAAGAGCTCGACGATGGCCAGCTGCATGATGAACCTCTGCTCTTCGCTCGTGGTGAACTCCTCCGAGTGCGGCCGCGGGAACACCTGGGAGAAGACCTTGAGGAACTCGTGCGACTTCAGCGCCCCGCCGTGAGACTCGAACTGCTTCTCCAGGAAGCGCAGCAGCTGCGCGTGTATCATCCGCAGGAAGCTCTGGAAGGTCTCCCGGACACACTGCCGCAGGCCGATGTACCTCGCAGGGCGGGGAAGGCACCCCTACCCACGGCCTCGCGGCCGGGACCCCCTCCGTCGCGACCCCACGGGGAGACCTGCCAGCCTTCGGCTCAGGCCCTGCACGGAACGCGCCCGTGGGGTCGCGCACCCAGTGGCATCGCGCCTCGCTGTCAAGACCGCCAAGGTATCAACATCGACATGGCTTGGAGGCGGCCATGGGGTCTGAGCGGGACGGGCCCCGCGAAAGCCGGTCAAGATTCGGGGGTAAGGGCGAATGCGCCCAAAATCGGTCCTCGGACCCCTCGGGCGCCACCCGTTGCAGCATGTCACCTCGGGTCCGATTTCCAGGGTCCCGGAGCCCAGAAACGGCCCCAGGAGGCAGAAAAAGGCAGAAGGCCAAATCGAACCCAGAACCTCGAACCTCACCCCCTCCTTCCTGCTCGCCAGGGCCCGTGCTGCGGTGCTCAAAAAGACATGGGCATCGATATCTCTTTTTCTAGAGGCCTCCCACATGGGGACCAGGCAGATGGGGTCGGAGGATCGCGCCGCATCGGCAACAACACATCGGCGATGCATCGGCGTGGAGAAAATCGGGCTCTACATCAAGACGCATCGGCGATGCACCAGCGATGCGGCGCGATCCTCCAACCCATTCGGCGACTCCGAAGGGTGCGGTTTGCAAAGGGTGTGGTTTGCAACCGGCGCCCTGGGGGGCAAGCCCGGGGGCGGGCGGGGACCTCGACTGAGCTCTCGGCCGCGTCCCGAGGAGGCCCAGCGAGGACAGTGTCGTGCTCCCTGGGCCCCAACGGTGCCGATCGCAGACCACACCCCGGCGTAACCATACCCTGCGTAGTCGCCGACCCATCTGAGCGACGACCACAAACGGGTCTTACGCGACATGACGCAGCGACCCCACGCGGTGGCCTGCGCGGGCAGCCCGAGCGGTACGCTGCGCCGGAAGCGAGGGCGCCCACGCGCGATCCTACGCGGGAAGCTCACGAGCCCACGTCGGCGCAGAGGACCCCGCTTCTCTTGCGCCGCTCCTCTGGGAGGCCCAGGCCCTTCGCTCGCGGGCACCTCGCCGCGGCCTTCTGCGGGTCCAGCGGCAGCTGCAGCAGGGGCTTGGCGGCCATCGCCGCGCCCTCTGCTGAAGGAATCGCTCCCTGATGGGCCCATGTTCCACCACCACTACCGTAGGTAGGACAGGGAGGAGGAGGAGAAGGAGGAGGAGGAGGAGGCGGAGGAGGAGGAGGAGGCGGAGGCGGAGGAGGCGGAGGAGGAGGAGGAAAAGGTGGAGGTGGAGGAAAGCCTCCCCATCCACCCTTCTCCCCCGTCCTACCTACTGTCGGGCCGCTGAAAGAAGGAACGCTGAATAAGGAACGAAGCCTCTTTTTGGCCCTGTAAGCGCCTCCGTGCCCCAGGAGGGCAAGAGGAACAGCACTGGAGGAACCTAAGGAACATCGAGCCCCTTCCGAACCCAACCTATTCCTTCAGCGTCTTGACTGTATGGCAATGGTGGTGGGAAGTCTGCCCATCAGCTCCCACCCCCCAAAACTGGGAGGGCAGCGGCCCCCCCCCCCGCGGGGGCCGTGCACGCGCAGGCGCCCGCCCCCCCGCCACTGGCTCCTTTCAGGAGCGGGCGGAGCCTTTGTTGACGGCAGCGCGGGGCAGGCAAAAGCGCGAGGCAGACGAGCAGCGCCACACCCCGGCCCTCCTCCTCCTCCTCCTCCTCCTCCTCCTCCTTCTCCTTCTCCTTCTCCTCCTCCTCCTCCTCCTCCTCCTCCTCCTGTCGATTTGCACCACATAGCTCGCTCCTCGGCCTCCTCCCGGCAGGGCAGGCGGAGGGTCGTTCTCCAGCTTCGGCCTCTGGGGGCCCTTTGCCGGGCCTCGGGACCGTAGAGCGCCGCCCCAGAATGATGACACACCACTGCCGGGGAACGTGTTGAGACTTCTGGGTGTCGTCGGCGTTATGAACAGATGATGACGTCGGGGGTCCGGCGACGAAGACTAAGGCGTCCTCGTTGGGTTCCGAGTAGGTGGGCCGCGTCGCCGATGCATCGGCGACGCATCGACGATACATCGCCGATGCATGGGCGACGTCGGCGGTGCATCAACGACGCCAGCGCGGAGAAAATGGGGCTCTACACCGAGCAGCATCGGCGGTGCATCGGCGATGCGGCGCGATCCTCCGACCCCATCTACTCGGACCCCATTTGGGAGGCCTACAATGGGAGCTCGACCACAAGGCACCTTCCACGAGAAATCCAACCCTGAGACCCCAGGACGTCCATTGATATTTAGAATGGGAACGTCACGCTTTCCATATAATAACCACAACCCAAGAAGCCCACGGCACCCTGAAGGCAAGCAGGGTGTGTCTAGGAGCTTCCACTCTACTCGGACCCCATCTAGGAGGCCCAAGAGAAACCCACACCCCCGACGCCGTGATGTCTGTCGCGACTTGGAGCCCCAGAGGGCATCGGCGGCAACGCTCTGAGAGCGCTCCAGAGCGCGCTGGAACGGATTTATCCCATTCTGGGCCCGTGCGGCGACGCGAGGGAGGTCAGGGAGGAGGAGGAGGATGAGGAGAAAGAGGAGGAGGAGGGGGAGGAGGAGGAGGAGGAGGAGGAGGAGGAGGAGAAAGAGGAGGAGGAGGAGGAGGAGGAGGAGGAGGAGCATTCTCGAGCACACTTATGTGTATAAATATGATTGCACTTATTATTTGTTCTTCTTCTCTCGAGCACCCATCCTGAACGCGTTGCGTCTGGGAGCAGATCGTACTGGGGCCTGTGGGGGTCTCTTTTGGGGGCTTCCTCTTTGGGCTGCCTTGCGGTTGCCTTGGGAGGTTTTGGGCCGCTCTGGGGCCGGCTTGAGGCTATCTTGGGGGCTGTTGGGGCTGTCTTGGAACTGTTTTAGCGGTTTTGTGGGACTGTTGAGCTGTCGTGAACGCCGTGAATGGGGCTTGTGCTGACCTCTTTAGAACCTCTTGGGGGTCTTTTGAGGCCTCATTGGGGAATCGTGAGGTTTCTTGGGAGCTTCTTGGGGCCTCGTGAGACTCTCTTTGGGGCTGTCTTGCGGCTGTCTTGTGAGGTCTTGGGCGGCTCTGGGACCGTCTTGGGGCCCTCTTGGGTAGTCTTGGGGACCTCTTGGGTGGGCTTGAATGCCTGGCGAACCGAAGAGTCGTATCTATTATCATTGCACGCTTCTCATTTATAACTTGACGATCTGGGCCTCTTGGGGCTTTCTAGGGAATGCTCTCGGAGGCCTCTCGGGAATCTTGGAGGCCTCTGGGAGGCCCTGGTGGCGGTACTGGGAGCGAATTGGAGCCGGCTTTCTGGCCAGGAGCCCGAACTGGGAGCGAGTTGGAGCCGTCTTCCTACACTTCGGGTTGCACGATGCCGACACTCGGATTCACACGCCACTAGGTATGCCGATGCCCACTTCCCCATGCATCCCAACTGTCAGCTCGATCTGCTGTTCAATGTTCATGCCGACGTGCTGCTTGATGGTAATGCCAGGCTGCACTTCGAGTACAACTGTAGTTTCATTTCGATGTGCATTCCGATGGCAATCTGACATGCGTGCCGATTCGAGATCCCCACGGGCCGAGGCAGCCACGAGACAGCACGCGGACAAACGCATCCGAATCACCACAGGCCAACCTACGGGCCGACCCGTAGGACAAGGGCCCAGAAGGCAACCGCAACAACACAACTGATTGAACAACCACGGGACACTCCGCGGGGCAACAGCGAGATAACCGATCCACCGGACAACCACCAACATCATCCAACTGGGCAACCACGGAACAACCCACGGAAAAACCGCTGGACAAGCGCGGGAAGCCCACGGGACAACTACAGTAAGGACCCGTGCAATTGGAAGAGAAGCTCGCTGCACGGCCTGATCCTGTCTGCGCCTGCACAAAAGGCACCCTCGCGCAGAGTTCGCCTCGCCTGCACGCGCCACACGAGCCGCAACCGCAACCGATTCCCGCTTGGGGTCACGTCGCCCTCGCGCTCAAATCTTGGATGATGTGCATAGCGTGAGTGTGCGTACAGCGGTCATGCTACAGAAGCGGTCGCTGAATAAGGAGCGACGGATTTCTTGCTGGCCACGGCGAGCCTCGGCCACGAAGCGGTTCCCTGACCTGGATTAAGAGGAGCGGCCCAAAGACCAGCGCGCCTCCTAAATCCGAGGTGGCCCTGATCGCGGCGTGTGCACTGTAGAGAAAGAGAAGACGAGAGCAAGAGAGAGAGAGAGAGAGAAAGAGAGTGAGCGAGAGCGAGCGAGAGAGGGAGAGAGAGGGAAGGAGAGCTTGTTAGTCGCGTCGTTGCAGGTGTTGGTAGCCTAGCAAGACAGGCGATGTTGAAAGCAGTGTCAAGGGACTGTGCAGACAGGCGCAGAAGGGGGCGATCAGTAGCCAGTCGCAGGCAACCTGGCCTGCTCGACGACGCCCCCCGCCATTTCCAGGAAGCTTCTGGCCTCATCGGCGCTGGCGCCTGCTCGCCCCGCAGCCGGCGCGAAAGAAGTAGCAGTACGCAGGAAGGCGAGTGCATGAGGAGCTAACGAGGACGTTGAGGAGTCGCTGCTGCTGCGTGGGCGCCCAAGCGGGGTTCAGGCGCGAGCTAACAAGAGGGAACGCCCGCCGATCCCCTCACAGCGCGAGCGAGAAGGCGAATCAAGTATTTTAGGAGGGGACGTGTCGATACCTGCCCAAGGCTTCGTGGGGTTTTCGAGTAGACCAGAAATTTGGGGCCCAACCCTGGCATATACGGTTTGGGGGCGTCTATCCTCGATAGGGATGCGTCCGAATAGCCCCTGGGGGTATATCCCATGAGTTCCCCTCCCTGTCTGAGCGGCTCTACGTGTTTGTCGTCGAAAAGTCGTGGGCTGGGGGGGGAGAATCATCGCCTGCGAACCTCTGCTGCCCCGCCTCCCCCCGCCCCCCCGTCCCCATGGTAAAACGTCCGAATCCTGCGAAAAGCGGGTGGTCCAACGCTCTGGGAGCGTTCTGGAACGCGCTGGAACGGGTTCACCCTCGCCCTGGCCCCGCCCGGACGGTCCAGGCTGGCACCATCACGGCCTCATGGTGGCCCAGAAGCGCCTCTCACCAGGGGGCAAACCAACCGACCTGCCTCGCTTTTGACCACCCTCGCTTCCAAGAGATGCCAAGCGATGCCAAACTACGGCCCGTACTGGTCCGGCCGCTTGACGAGGCGGCGCGCGGTAGGAGTTGGTTTTGCCTGGCAGCGAAAGCGGGGTAGGCAATTCACGCCCTGACTCACGGAAACCCCAGTGAGCCTGAAAGCATTGGACACATCAAGTGGTGCTTTGGCGCCGAGCCCAGCGGGGAAGACAGAGGGGAGGGGGCTGCCCGGAAAGTTCAGGAGGCCTCCGGCCTTCCGAGGACTTTCCGAGCCTCGGCTCCGCAGACGCGGACGCTTTCTCACAAGCCCCGCCGCCTTCTGAAAGGCCTGCCCCCTTGTACTTCCCCCCTGGCCTCGACGCCGAGTGCAGCGTCTGTGGGAAAAAACACGCGGTGGGAAAAACACACACACACACACAGCGTGTGTGTGTGTGAGTGAGTGAGTGAGTGTGGGGGAAAAAACACACAGTGTGCTTTTTCCCACGGTGTGTGTGTGTGTGTGTGTGTGTGCGTGCGTGCGTGCGTGCGTGCGTGCGTGTGTGTGTGTGTGTGTGTGTGTGTGTGTGTGTGTGTGTGTGTGTGTGTGTGTGTGTGTGTGTGTGTGTGTGTGTGTGTGTGTGTGTGTGTGTGTGTGTGTGTGTGTGTGTGCGTGTGTGCGTGTGTGTGTGTGTGTGTGTGTTTTCCCACTGTGTGCTTTTTCCCACAGATTGCCCTGCAGGGGCTCGCGGTGCTCCCTGGCAGAGGCAGCCCCAGCAAACCCCGCTCCGGGCAGCGCGCCCGAGGCGAGGCCGCGGCGGGGCAACCTATCGGGCTGCCTGCGCCCGACAGCTTTTGCGCGCCTCTCGCCGGGAGCGCAGCGAGACAACCGCGACCACGCGTGCCAAGAGTGCGATTACCAGCCTCGAACGTATCCCTATCCCTAAGATTGACACTCCAAAAGGCGATGACAATCTTAGGGATGCGCCCTCAACAGATGAGGGAATCCCCAAGATTGGCATCGTGATGAGGAGGTGCCCAGCATAGGGATAGGGATATGTTCCAGGCTGGTAAACAGTGAGCGTTGTGTGTACGATGATTTCTGAGCTACTGTGGGGGAAAACACACACAGACACACAGTGGGAAAGAAAACACACACAGTGTGGGGGGAAACACACACACACACGCACACAGTGTGTGTTTTTGTGTTGTTTTCTTTCCCACAGTGTGTGTTTTTGTTCCCACAGTGCGAGCGTTGCGTGTACGCTGATTTCTGAGCTGCTGTTGTGTCGTCGGATTCGCTGGACAAAACGTCCCGACGGTCTGGAGCGGAGCATCCGATGGATTCATACCAGATCGACCGTCGCAGAACTAGCAGCGATAGAAGCGATGGAGTGCAAAGCTGACTGAAGTAGCAAATCTGATACGAGCTGCGTCCCATCCCATCGCCCGTACCACATATTGGTTCTAGTGAATTAGATTCGCTTGTTGTAACAAGGCTCGGCATTAGTGCCCGCTCTCACACGTCGCTGCTGATGGGGTTGATTGCCGATGGATCGCCGGGGTGGCCCAAGAGAACCAGAAGGGAGCCCAACAGGAACCCGACATGAGCCCAACAGCGCCTAAACTGGCCGCAAACCCAAATCCAACCGAGCGACGAGAAGGTGCCGACGTCAGACAGTCCTCGCATGATCCCAAGGGCTCTAGAAAGCACGGATGAAAAACCAAGAGAACAGCCCATCAAAACATAAACACAAACCCAGCGTAACTCTAGAGCCCCACGAGCGCTGACAAAACAATAGCTCCAATATGTTGTTTTCACCCCAAGCTACCTTCTTGTTGGTCTCTCGCACGAGTGTGAATTACAATGTCGTGGCCACCCCTTCGAAGGCCGAGTCACCGTTTGCATCTATCAGCCGCAAGCGCGCGCGTTGTCGTCGAATCGCCTGCCGCGACGCAGAAATCTGTAGGCACAATGTAAAGCCCCAAAGGCATCCAATGCAGACACCGCGAATTAATGCTATCGCCGCCAGCCGTGATCCTTGGAGCGAAAGGCCGGCTTTTCGTCTCCATCCATCACGCGCTGGCGGTTCCAGCTAGGCCGTCTACGAGGCATTCTTGAAGGAGGTGTAGGGACTGTTCACCTATCCCGCCCTCCTGGCAAGGAAGAGGGGCGAGGAAAGAGGGAGAGGGGAAGGAGCGGCGGGAGGGGGCTGCGGGAGGGAGGGGGCGCGGTAGACGCACAGTGGGTGCACCCTTTTCGATACCCACTCGAAGGCGAACCCTCAGAAGCACTTCCTGTGAACGATAGTGGGGCCAGACTCGTCATACTCCCCCTTAGAAATCCACATCTGCTGGAAGGTGCTCAGGGATGAAAGGATGGACCCGCCGATCCACACTGAGTACTTGCGTTCGGGCGGAGCCACGACCTTTATCTTCATCGTGGAAGGCGCTAATGCCGACAATTCCTTGGTCATCCGCTCGCCGATTCCTGGGAACATGGTGGTGCCACCAGACAGCACAACGTTAGCGTACAGGTCTTTCCGAATGTCGACGTCGCACTTCATGATCGACTGGAAGGTCGTGTCGTGAATGCCACTGGCTTCCTTGCCCACAAAGCTGGGCTGGAAGAGAACCTCGGGACAACGGAAGCGCTCGCTACCGACAGTTATGATATTTCCGTCAGGAAGCTCATACGTCTTCTCCTTGTCCGAGCTCTCTGTGGCAACCTTCATCTCGGTGTCAAAATCGAGCGCAATGTAGCAAAGTTTCTCTTTGACGTCGCGCACGATCTCGCGCTCAGCCGTGGTTGTGAAGGAATAGCCACGCTCAGTAAGGATCTTCATCAAGTGCTCCGTGAGGTCACGCCCTGCCAGATCCAAGCGCAAAATCGCGTGCGGCAGAGCGTAGCCCTCATAGATGGGCACAGTGTGCGATACGCCATCGCCGGAATCCATGACGATCCCCGTGGTGCGTCCAGAGGCGTAGAGAGAGAGAACTGCCTGGATCGCGACATACATCGCAGGCACGTTGAAGGTCTCGAACATGATCTGCGTCATGCGCTCGCGATTCGCCTTGGGGTTGAGGGGCGCCTCTGTGAGAAGCACGGGATGCTCCTCCGGAGCAACGCGGAGCTCGTTGTAGAAAGTGTGGTGCCATATCTTCTCCATGTCGTCCCAATTGGTCACGATGCCATGCTCGATTGGATACTTGAGGGTGAGGACACCACGCTTGCTCTGAGCTTCGTCGCCAACGTAGCTGTCCTTCTGGTCCATGCCGACCATGATCCCTGGCATCTTCGGGCGGCCGACTATGGACGGAAACACAGCGCGTGGGGCATCGTCGCCCGCAAAGCCGGCCTTGCACATGCCGCTGCCATTGTCCACGACCAGAGCGGCGACCTCCTCCTCGCCCATGAGTGCGGGGTAAGCAGATGGCAGACGCCCACGGCGACCAGATGACCGGGAACTGGTTTGGGGGCAAATGTCCCGAACGACCTTCGCCAAAACGGCTTGAGCCAAAATGGCCACGGAAAGCATAGCTCTAACAATAGCCCCAACAAGCTCACGACTGCTGACCCAAAAGAGCTCTGGATGATCAGGCACGGGCATCGAAGCCGTAGCCCACCCAACCGATTAGACACGCACTTAAACACGGCTGGCGATTCGAAGCTTATAAAATACTCAACCCTGAATTCCTTCAATCATCCACAGTCTTTCACTCCTCTCCCTCCTATTGGCCCCAGAAACGGCAGGGGCGTTTTTTTGCATCGTTTCCAACAAATGTCTCTTGAACATGAAACAAAAATGAGACAACGAGAACAATAATCGGCAACACAAAAAACTACTGAATTGGAGCCGGAACCAGAAACAACAAAACAACAGCGACAGAACCGGCAACAAAAAACGACGTGGAAGACAACGACGACGGCAAAACGGAACCTGTAAAAAGACGGCCCTGTTGTTTCCAGGGGCCACTAAGCTCTCCCCCTCTTCGCTCTCACATACTCCTCAAACTGCCCCAAAGCAACGTATATCTGTCTCCCTCCACGTCTTACTCCTGCTCCTTCGTGCCACCGAAACGTAACCCTCGCTGGGGTACCAGATCAACCTGAGACATCGTAACGAAGCGTTTCTAGGGGGTCGGCGGAATGGCGCATCTTACCCTCGAGAGCATTGGTGCTGTGAGACACAGGCCGCCCTTGAATTTGCCCATCCAGCGGGGTGTTCCAGCTTGCCCGTGGACCCAGCAATCCCACGGCGGCTGATGCGAGCATCGGTGGAGAGACGAGAAGATCTGCTCCCCCTGCTCATCAACCCAGAGCAGAGAGCGCTGAACTTCAGCCCGCCCACGCCGCTGGAAAAACATCCAGCTCCGTGGAGACTACGCTCGAACAACTTCGGCTGCCCGTCGAAAACAAAAACGCAACTAGGCGTCAAACGCCCGCCGGGCCGAGGAGGGACGGGGTCCACGATGAGCCCGGCGCACTTCGTCGCGCGCCCCTTTCCTCCCAGCCTCCTCGCCCAATGCCGGCGCAGACGAGACACATGAGGAACCCTTTGTGAGGCGAGGAGGAGGAGGAGGAGCAGGAGGAGGAGGAGGAGCAGGGTACAAATCCTCCGGTGCGCGCATCGTCCCCGCCGAGGCCCGAACCCTGTGACGCTGCGCCCTTCGCGATCCTGTCGGCCACGGTCCGCGTGGGGCGACCCAGAAGGGGGCCCCGCCTTCGAGGATCGAGGTCGATGGCGTCGCCTCCTCGGCGGAAGGCGGCGGAAGGCGGACCGAAACAAAAACGAGGGTGGCTCCGCTGGCGGAAGCCCCTGCGAGACTACCCCGGCCACCCTGCTGCCGCCTGCGGCAGGGCTGTACCCTCCCCGCGCGCTTCTCCTCGGCCCCTCCGCCGCAAGTCATGGCAAGCAGTCCATTCGGCCTCGGCGTTGCCACCAGCCACCGTCAATCGCCAACCACGACAGCACGAGGACTATCACAGCAGACATGGACGCCGGTTTCCCTCGATTGACGCGGCGCCGAGTTCATTGCCTTGCGCATGCTCGGAGCAGCGCCACCGAGGTGTACACCACCAGGGGTGGCGCGCCCAGTCAGCACCGCTTGTCCCACGAGAACGGGCGCGGACAGGCTCAAAAACAACAGCGCAATCAACTGCAGAGCCCCGGCGCCCAGCCCGCGCCTCACCAGCATGAGCACGAACGAGAGCACGATGACCCGTCGGCGATATCACTCCCACCGCCATTCGCACACGGGTTCGGTGCTGGAAACCCTTATCGGGAGCGGCCAAGAGGGGGGTGTCCAAGAGGGGGGGGTGCAAATCATGGCCGGCGGCATGTGCGCGGCCCAGCGGGGGGGCCTGGGACGTAAAGAAATAAGAAGAGGCGCCATGAAATCTGCGGAGATATCATGGCCCGCGCCATGATATCCACCCCCCCCTAGTCATCACCCCCCTCTTTTCCGCCCCCGATTAACAAAACGTCTCTTGGAGACGTATCCCTTAATTCCGCCGCCTTCCGCTGGCCTCCGCCGAGGAAGGAGGCGTCAACAACTTCGACCCTCGGAGGCGAGGCCCCTTCCGGAGCGCCCCACGTGGACCGTGGCCGACAGGATCGCGAAGGGCAAACTTGGCATGGCCTTCTCATCAATGCCGACATGGCTCCACAACGGCGGCCAGCACGACAGCACGACGCAAACAGGGGGAAAACAAACCTACCTCGCTTTTGACCACCCTCGCTTCCAAGAGATACCAAGCGATGCCAAACTACGGCCTGTATCGGTCAGGCCGCCTGACGAGGAAAAGCGCGTGGTATGACTTGAATTTGCCCGGAAGCGAACGCGGGGTAGGTAATTCACGCTCTGAGCAAAGGATGTCGTAAACGACGCACGTGTCCGTATCCGCTGCATCGCGGGCCCGGCACATGGGCCGGGCCCCCGCGAATACGGATAGCTTTCCCGCGGACGCCCCGCGCGAACAATATCTGGGGAAACCACAAGGAGGCGGATCCAGCGGTGGCGACGAGGGCCTCCGAGGAAGCCCAAAAAGGGGAAAACGAGGAAAGGGTAGAGATATGGGTACCTATTCCTTTCTCTGAATATCCGTGCGACCGCGTATCTGCGGGATCGCGCCCCGGAATCGAGACCGCGAGGGCGAGGATACCGACATGTCCACCGCCCGTGGAACACGACGCAAAGGACGGCCAAGCAGGCCAGGCGCTGCACAAGCAGGCAGCACCCTCGGCCAGCGGCGCCAGCATGATGCCGGGTGTGGCTGGCGCTTCCCGCTGGGGCGGCGCGCCGTCGCCATCGGGAGGCACGGGTACAGCACTGGCCCCAGCAGTCCTTGTCGCCCTGCTCCCCCGACTCCTCCAGAAGTAGTCGGAAGACGAGGGTGACCGGAAGTACTGGGGAAGCGAGGAAGGTTCCTCCTGGTAGGAGAAGACCAGCCTCGACCCTGTGTGCCTTGATGCTCGGTCCCCAATCCACCACTACACTGCTCCTCATCCCCCTCGATGATCAAGCTCCCTTGCTGTCCACCCATCTCCGCTGACCTCACACGTATTCTTCCTCGTTGCCAACGTTATCCTCCTCCTCCTCCTCCTCCTCCTCCTCTTCCTGCTCCTCCTCCTCCTCCTTTCTCCTCGTCCTCCCTCTCGTCTGCCCGACACCTCCCCCGCCCTCATCCTCGGCCACCTCTGCACCCTCCTCCTGAGCCACCCATCCTCGTGCTCCATATTCCTCCTCTGCCCCCCTCCTACTCAGCCAACCCAAGATATATACGTTCAATGATACGTATCTCGTGGGCGGATTTCCACGGTCGATTGCCCTCCTCTGGCTAGACAGGGAGATGCACAAATGCAACGAATCCATCAAACTGCTGCGCCACAAGAAATTCCTTTTTTGTGGCCATCGCCGTCGTGGACGTTGCTGCCGTCATCAACGTCTGTCTCGTCCTCTGTCCAACCCCAAGAGCCTGCATGCAAAAACATGCTACACCTGTCTTCATGTCTGTCGAGCTTCCCACTGCGCATGGAAACACTTCCCCTCTGCCCACCCGTCACGGCTATGAAGTCCGCGACCTTGGTGTCGGTTGCCATGTCACTGGCAAGCGCCTATGCGCTGTCGCATGGCGGGGTCACGAAGGCGCGCTTAGCTGACATCCTAATGACAACGATCACACCTGGAAGAACACAGAGGGTAACATAACGGGATGCAATCTGAACTCGACAAACTTCGGTGACCGTGTTCCCGCGCTCGTCCCAGCTTGTCCGCGCTCGATCAAACAACCATGAACCAACCATCGACGGCCCCGAATCCATCAGTCAATGTAGTTGTTGGACTTTGCCAGCTTCACTGCCGTAAGATGTAGGTAAAACCGTGCCCCTGATAATCACAGCCTGGGAATAATGAATCTCAGAGTCCTGGAGGAATATTAACCAATTTCCGTGGCAACTCGGAAATATGGATGTGCGGATTGCTCTGGCGGAGCCTCCCTGGCGCTAAAGCGGGGCTTCATTTGAGGAGGAGGAGGAGGAGGAGGAGGAGGAGGAGGAGGAGGAGGAGGTGGTGGGGGGAGACGGAGGGGAGAAAGGGGAGGGAGGAAGAGGGAGGAAGAAGGATTGTACAACAAAGGTAGATCTAACGGGTTCTTCTTGTAAAAGCTTGAAGTTCCTGGTCGTTACTCTTGATAGGTATGTTCTGGCGATTGTCGAGCCCGGGAGGGCGAGCAGGGAGGGGACAGTTAGGAGAGAGGAGTGAAGGGACGAAGGAGGGAGGAGGGAGAAGCGAGGGAGGGAGGAGGAGAGAGAAGGGAGGAGAAAGGTAGAAGGAGGTAGGGACGAAGGAGGGAGGAGGGAGAAGAGAGGGAGGGAGGAGGAGAGAGAAGGGAGGAGAAAGGTAGAAGGAGGTAGGAAGAAAAGACCACTGATGACAATGTACCCCCACCGACCAAGAATGTGCTGCCCGGAGATACTCAATATAGGAAGGGTGAGGAGGGGGGTGCTTCAACATCCGCGACATGGGATCCGTCACCCGCCACCGTGCCGCGAAACTATGGGTAGAACGCTCTCATGCCCCTTCGGGTTCCCGGTGCCGAGTATCATATATGCCTCTACAAAGGACCCAAAGGCCCCATGCCTCCAACATTTTGTCGGGCGGCTCTCCAGCGATGCTTGGCGCTCTCGGGGCATGTCGCAGGCCTTTCCCCGAGGGAATAATTACAATTGGGAGCCAAGGCTTCGGACGTTCCACCTGCCATAACACAGCCAAAAGATTTGATAGGGACGCGCGGTGAGGATGCAAGGCCCCTGGAGGCTCCAAGTTGGACGTCCCTGGACGTGGAAAATGGCGGAAGATTGGCCGAGGAGGCAGCCATGGAAAAGTTGTTAGAGCAATCTCCTGTGGCCCTACCGCGAAATGTTCTTAGAACCCAGAAATGTTTGAATAACGAAAGCAATGCTCTTAGAACATAAACCGTATGTGATCAAACAAGACAGACTCCGCCAGAAATGTTCTAAGAACATTTCGTGGAAGCCACACAAGGTTCTTAGAACATTGTTTGGTAGGGCTATAGGCGAGCCAGGACGCTTCGCCATTGCTGGAGTTT